CCACTTCGCGAGGCATTTCGCTTAAATGTACAGGTATATCATAATACACTACAAAAGAAATAAAAAGCTATGTTTGTAATATCTTCATTTTAGTACTGAATGGGACGTAAAAGACATCATCGTGAGAGAGAAGTGGATAATAAAATTATTCATATGTACGACTCCGCAATGCAGATAATGGCAGTAACCAGAGCAGAGCGATCCCTTGATTGTTGTTGAAACCTTATTTTTAAAGAGCTCTTTGTTTATTTTGGTACATAGAATAATTTTTTTTTTCTGCCGGTTTTTCTGTTAGTTATATGTCGGTTTATATTGGATTAGTTACCAATCTCAAAAAAGTAGTAACTATTGCCTTATTTTTTTACTTTATTTCTTAATTAAAGTTGTTTATTTATACAATTATGAATTAATGTTTAGATTTTTTTATATTTAGCACGTCATATCCCAGTGTAATTTAGGAATAATCATATTTATTTGAAGTTCGAATCTTATTTTACAATAGATTAATTAGCACACACAGTATACTTAATGTGTGTAGGAAAAACACAGTTAACTACTTCAAAAAACTACGCGCATGAAGTCGCAGGGAAAGTTTAAATTAAAATTTTTGTTTAATTGTTTTACAATATTTATTTTACGAATATATTAGATATAAAACAAAAGAGTTCGCTCTAAAAGCAGCCACAATACGTATCATATCCATATGTAATACTTTATTCTGGTAATACTAAACCCGAAGAATAAAAATTGATAATGGATATGCACAATAGTCGTTCACTAGAGATATTATCCGAAGAAGAGAAAGATGGTCCCACCTTGCTATAAACATAACTTTATGTTCCGCAAAGAACGACTATAAAGTTACATTATATTGCACATAAATTTCTTCATGGATTTTAAATATAACGTAGTATATTTTCAGGTAGGTACTATCATAATTCTGCCACTTTGTTCGATAAATTTATTTAAGCTTCTTTTATCGCAAGGACGTGCCAGAATCGAGACTTTTTTAATAATTTAGTTATAATTTGGCTCTTTTGAAAATATTGTGATTAAGAAGGAAGTTTTTTTTATGCAACTTAGAATGGCAAACAAGCTGACGGCACACCTACTTGATGGAATGTGGTAACCGTCACCTATAGACATGAGCAGTGCCATGGTTATAACAGAGTATACTGCTTCGCCCATGAACCCCCCCCCCCCCCCCAATAAGTTGCTATTCCTGGGAACCAAGGTATTATTCCTTTATACCTTGTAAATTCATTGCCATATCTCACCCTTCAAACTGAAACACAGCCATGCATACAACTACTTCACAGTAGGAACACTAATGGGACAGAGGTGACCTAAGCAAATGATTTTAGTATAAAGTCTCTCTTTGTTAATTAAATTCACAATCAGATTGTATTTTATTGCGTTGCGTAATCTTAAATTCCTGCGTATTGGGAGATTATAAAGCTCACCTAGTTGATGAAATAAATAAATAAATTTGACAAACTTTTTACGATAATCATCTGCATTGATGACCACTAAACAGCTGTGATTACATAGCTGTGTTTTGATAGCAGGAACACGAAGGACTAACATTGATCCTCAGAAATGGAAACGCATGGGCGTCATAATTTATTCTGTGACATTCATGGTGCTAATCGTGTCTATAAACGTCTATGGCTGTTACCACTTTCCATTAGATTTGTTTGCCATTCCTATTTGCTTTTAATATAGCCTTTATTTTAACCTCGCTTATCTAGCGGTTTTGTACAGCGTTATAATTCGAAATTTTTTTGTGTTGTAGTTTGTTTTCCTTTCAACTCTTAAGAAATTCGTGATGAAAAAGAGTGCTTTTTTTACTCCTTTAAAATCTCTATTTTTTTTTTTTTTATTATTGAAAGGATTTATTTTAATTTAGGATCACACTTACCATCTTATCATCATTATATCAGCCTTTGACTGTTTACTTCTGGCTTACCTTTTAGAGGGCGTTTTTTCAGTGACTGCCATGGTTGGCAGGCGGGTTGACAACTCAAATTAGGTTTTTGGTGTTGTTTTAAAAAGGGCACTGCTGCCCATCCCCTAACGATTAAGTTTTCTTAGTCGCCACTTATAACACCTACGGGAAAGAAAGAGGTAACTCATTCTATTCCAGAACCACACTGCATATAACATATATCACAGTTATAATAATTCTTAATTTGTAGGTACTTTACAATACGAATATGTACATTTGACGCTTACATTAATGGATGTCGTATCTTCTTGCTTGCATACATAAGTAGTTTGTGCATGGAGTTAGGTTGCGTGTGTTAGATATTTATTTTAAATTATATTAATTTTCTTAAACATCTTATGTTAAAATGTGTACCTACATTTATTAATAAAAATCAGACTAACTACTTTAAATATAATAAAACGTTAAAATTGTTATTATACCAAATTTAGTAATAAATTATTCTTGTATTGTATATAGAACACTAATTTATATTTTAATTAATTATATAATTTTATTTATTGTCATGATACTTGAATAAAAAGTAATGAAATTATAAAAACACGTGGTCTCGCTGACTTGTTCCCTCGAATTCAGCCCTGTAGATATAAAAGATTGTTATCTGGGTGGGGAGACACTTCTTGTCATTATATAAAATATATCACAATTATTGATGATGGAAGTCCTAAAGAAGCTATAGTTAAATAAGTGTCAATGGATTAACAGAAGTTGGGTATTTATGTTATATTATTTATTATATCTCGTATACAAAGTAAAATAAGTAAATATATGATTTAATAGTATGATATCTAAATTAAATGAACTGTAAGTACTTGTGCTTCATTTCTATTTATCACTAAGAGGTTTACAACCTTTATATTGTTAAATAATATATCATATACTTGTAAAGTTAGTATAACGTAGTACCCCACATACTATATATATATATATATATATATATATATATATATATATATATATATATATATATATTATAAATACCTTTTTCAGATGCGCAATCAATTTATCATAATTCCATAAATTACCACCTTTATCGTTTCAACAGAGCTCTACGTCTCTTTATATATTACAGTATACCTTTAAACGTTAATCGTTATCAGATTCAGTTAATGCACCCTATATGATGATGCAATGTAGAATACCATGATCTGCCTAATTTTAAAATTGGCCTGCGATATAATCACGTGATTTTTACTATGTTATTCAATGTATAGAAATTTTAATTAAATACCTTATTGACCTTACCTTTATATAGACCTAAATATCATCATCATGAGCTTTTAATTACGGCGACTTAGTAATTAATCTGTATTTACCAAATCAATAATCATCCTTACTAGTCCTTACCAATATTGTCAATTTGGAAGTGATGTTATTTGTTTGTTAGTTTGTTACCTAATAGTGCTTTAACAACTGAATCGATGTACTATACAAGATATATGTTACTATATGGAATGGAGAAAGACATGAACTTCTTAATCCCGGTTAGTAAACATATTAGTCACGCGAGCGAAGACGCGGGTAAAAGCTATTTACATATATCTATATATGTAAATAGCTTTTAACAAACACTAAGTGTTAATAAGTGTTTTCCGTATGTAAACGAAATAAACGTATTAAATAAACGCGAAATAAAATTAAGCCAAATACCACTTTACAAATTTTATGACCATAAAATCGTTAACTGTATTGTTAAAGTAAAACCACGGGATAATTTAATGTGGTTGCATTGTTGTTTTTTGATATTATATACGTTGGAAAGTCTGGCATTAATTAACCAATTTTAAAAAAGGAAGTATCTCAATTCTGTTATGTTTGTTACCTACCTCAAAACTCCGTCATTTATAAACTGATTTTGAAAATTGTTAAATTTAAAAGGATATACTTTCATGTCAGAATCGGTTTTGTATTTTTGATTTTAAATCAAGGTAACTGGTGCATAATAGTGATTTTTTAAGTTGTTGTTTATATGGAGAGATTAGTATTTACTAAAATTATATTTTAATTCTAACAGTTATTAAATATGCCGCGATATTATAAATTAAAATTTCTTATTAAAGTAAAACTAGGTTACTCTGTGTCGTGCTGCATTCTGATGTGTACTGCAAAATGTAGAATTAATTATAAATTGAAATTAATATTTTATTAATTAATATTAAATTAACAATAGAATTATTTTAAATTTAAATTTCACATTTTAAAATAAACCCACGTGATAATGTAATGTGATGTTGTTTTTTGATACTATTGTCTACAAAATAAGGTATTGAATACTTACATATCTACATAAAAAGCTTTGATTTTGAGAGTTGTATCAAAAATAATAATAAAATGTCTAACGTGTATATTAGTGCCATATTGAGAGTTACTGACATCCTATATTGTTAAAGCTTGAATGGAACTAATTGTCTTACTGTGTATTTTAATAACAAAGTACAAAATTCTAAGAAAATATGAGAAAACCAAATTAATCAAGTTTATTTTAAATTTATTACCGGGACTTAACGTGACACGATTACAAGTAAATTACTATAAAATAAATATAAATAGTATATATATATATATATATATATATATATATATATATATATATATATATATATATATAGTTTGCAGTTTGAGTGACTAACGGTTAATACTAAGTTCCGAGTAGAAATCTAATAAAACCTCTCGCAAAACGTGCGTGAACAAAATGGCAGTCGGAAGTTGATAGCTAATATGTAAGGTTGTGGAACTGCTGGTAGTATAATAGTGGTAGCCAATCCTTGAATATTAGCAGTCACAAAATACTAATGGTAGCGGAGTTAATTAAAATAATTCTAATCAAGTAATCATTAAAAAATCAGGTATCGCGTTAAGTACCGATCGTTAATTTAAAATATGTGCAAACAACGCGAATCTTTCAAATTAACTAATCAAGTCTAATATTCAGAATATATACTAAGTATCGTATTTATTTGTCCTCATAATATATTTTTTTCTTTTGTTTCAGATATTTGACAACCATTATCATTTTCATCACAACTCAGTAGCAAAGCGGTCGATATCGGCCGCCCATGAACACCATAACAGGCTGGAGGGAGATTCGAGAGTGCGGTGGGCGAAGCAACAGCGTGCTCTCTCCAGAAAAAAAAGGGATTTCATACCTTTACATGATTTTTCTTCTACAGGTAATATTCAAATATCTTTAATACTATCATAAATCTGATAAAGAGCTTGTTCGTTTTTACCTTCTGATCAACTTAACAAACCGTTTTGGAATTTAGCATATTATACATAGTGAGTCATCTTTTACTTTTTATCCGGATCAATTAATATATTCCGCGGAAGAAGTCGTGGCTAACAGCTAATAATTATATTACATCATAATCTGGGATCTACAATCATAATATCATCAAATGCCCTCAATTTACTGTTGAGTTCTTCTACTTCTCGAATAGATTATCATAAGAACATGAGACACTTGCATCCAATGACTTTCTGCAACATATCTACGGTCGTCTATCTAGATAGGGTCTATTTTATATACCTTATCTATATGCATTGATATAAAACAAGAGTCTTAAAATGTCAAAAATCATACTAGCTACATTCGTCTTTAAATACGAATAACCCGTCGTCTATAGACATGAGCAGTACCATAGACATAACAGAGTATACTATTTCGCCCATGATACCCTCCTTGCGTTGCTATTCCTGAGGACCAAGGCATTATTCCTCTGTATCTTGTAAATTCACTGCCACATCCCATCCTTCAAACCGAAATACAGTCATGCAAACACGACTGCTTCACGGTATAAACATGAATAGGACAGATGTATCCAAGCAAACGACTTTTGTATAAAGTCTCCCTCTGGTAAAATAACAGAATACGAAGACACAACACGATAGTCCTCAGAAATAGTAATGCATGAAAACTACTATGGATATCACAGTATATTCTGTAATATTATATTGTACTCTTCAAGTCTATAGGCGATAGTACTCGCTATCCATTAGATTAACCGTTAAATTATTTGCCATTCTAAGTATCATAATAACGTACACTTCACTTTATTAACATACTGAATAACATTAACAGCTGAAACAAAAACATCTGACGTGCCTTCACCATCGTCCGCTACAAAACGCGACGCTGGCTCCAAGAGAGATCTCCTACAGGCGAGGGTGAAGGGGCGGCCACGACTTGCTGACTCGAAATTCCTGCTCAATGATCCCAAATGGCCCCATATGTGGTACTTGGTAAGATATTTTTTATAAATTTTGATCAATAATAGCTTAAAAAATGTCTTTGTGAGATAAATACACTAAACGATAAATACAAAACTGAAATATATTGAGTTTTGTTATTTTTTACACATTTGAGATTTATTTTGGTATACGAAATTAAAACAAATAATAAATAAATAATGTTTAATAAGACATAAAAAAATCAAAACATTATAGATTTTCGATGTTAATTCAAACTTAAATTTTAAATGCGAATTATAAAGCGTAGTTTTGTTGTTGTCGTTCTTTGACTTATGTTTCTTAAGGATTCTTATTTTTGATGGTAAAATACTTCCTCAAAAGATGTTAATAATTTAATTTTTAATATGTATATAATGCATATTTAGTCACATACATTATGTATTATAAGTACCTTTGTTATATCAGTTTTAATAGAGAAGCAATAAAATCCAATTATAAATTTAGTAGAAAGGTAATAAATCTAACAATGGCCCTTTTAATATTATATAAAAGCATAAGTACAAGTTTAGGTATTGTTATAATGGATTTTAATAGCACTTTATAATAGCAAAATTATGTAGGTTTTACACGCCTATCGAAATTATTCTGTATTAAAACTCAGAGAAAATATACACAAGAAAATAACTTCGTCTTATTTTCTATGAAATACAATTTTAATTGTGATAAAAAATAGGCGTTTATGATGAGGGATAAAAAACACAATATAAGCACTCATTTTTAGAACGCTTTGTTTTCTTTTAATGGTTTCATCTAAACCCTCCAGAAGTTTAATTTTCTTTTCGGAAAGTTCATCTTATGCCTCGTAAAATATTGATGAGAGTAAAGCCAAAAATTTTCTTTTCACTTGGGATATTACGTAGAATTTCCTCGAATGTTAATTTCCCAGTTTTTAATAGTCAAGTGAAAATTCGTGAATTTTTCATTAGAATTGATATTTTCGCTTGTTTAAGTTTTGTTTCGTAAATTAAGTTGTAACTCGAATAAATAAGCATTGTGTTTATAATTAAGTTAGAAAATTTCGAAATTAGATTTTTATTTACTTTCCCGTTTTGTTTGTAGGTGTACGGTTACTTTCTTGTTTTCCTTTTCTACCTGTTATTGTTTCGGATTTGTCAGTACATTTTACTTCACTCACAATTTGGGAACTAAGTTTGTTGCTGGGTTTTTCTTTTCATACACAATATTGTCTACACTAGTTCTACAACACAATAGACACTACGATGACTCAGAACATTTATGCTAAGCGAATAGCAATGAGAAGAATCGACTTTAAATAAAATGTGTGAGGCAAAGCAAAGTCACAAAGAGAGGTTATCTGCATATTGATTTATTTTTCATATTGAAATACAATTTATTTTAAAATTCATAACTATTTCCATCGATATCGACAACGATGTACTCACAAGCAATTTCTTATCAGCGTATGTTACTTTATTTCATTTTTTTTCACTAGCGTAAAAATTTTTATATCTGTCAATATTAAAATTTATGAATTGCATCTCTTTTGTGTTTGAGACTTCTGGCAAAAAATAACCTCAAAATATTCAAAGTTTTTAATACCTCGGAATTGATCCTTTTATATTACACTGTTGACTAAAGATATACCTTTATAATATATATAGCAAGTTTATCAAAATTCCTATTAGGTCATCTAAAAGTCATATATACACAAAAAGCGAACAGTGGAAATGATTACCTCTTATTTGAAATCGGTTAATAATAATATTAAAATACTTTCATCATCATTATATATATATAATATACTGAGCTCGTTCAATAATACTTATAGGATTGTAGTAATAAGCGTGGCCATTACCGTGTCAAGTAGTCTCTACTGAATAGAGCTACTTAAAGAATTAAAAGTGCTGTTCTTACAAGTATTAAAAATTGTAAAGCTAAAATTGTGTATTAGATACTTTCGAATCCATACATGCGTGTACATACATGTAGAAAAATATATATTGTGTCGATGACATAAGTGACACGGCGGCAAGCATATTATTTGCGTAAATAAGGCCTCGGGTTCGAACACCGGTCTGTCCAATTTTTAAGAAATAGTTTTCTAATTTTACTCGTGTGCTTTAGGTTGTACCCCAGATTTACGTAATCAACTTTCTTATAACACACGGTATTCTAGCTTAAAGACTAGGCAATTGTTGTGATTGTTAGTATCATTAATGAACGCTTTATATTAACTAATACAATTATTTTTTTCTGGATAATGACAATTATTTAGTGTTGAAATAATAAACAATAACTACGCTAATAATAAAAACAATTGAGCACGTGTATTAGTTGTTTAGTACCCGTACTAGTAAACTAATAAACTAGATGGCGTTAAATAATAAGTCCACTGGTATTTATTTATTTAGCTGTGGGTAGATTACTGAGCTGTGTTGAGCTTTATCGACAGTTAACTGTATTGTTTATTAATAAGATACATTTTTCAGAACCGTGGCGGCGGTTTAGACATGAACGTGATACCCGCCTGGCGGGAAGGCATCACAGGACGGGGTGTGGTCGTCACTATACTCGATGACGGCTTGGAGACAGACCATCCTGATTTAGTTGCCAATTACGTGAGTATTATGTCATGATAACAATTTATTAAAAAAAAAATGTTTACGCTGATCAGGTAGTTTAATATTGATATTGAATTTTATTTAGGCTCCTTTTTCCTGGCCAAGTTATATTTTTTTCCCACAGCCACCTGCAACATTTTTAATTTTTGTTCATATCTCTTGATGTAATATAAATGTAATTTGTTAAATCCGGCGGCGATGTATTTGAAAGGTCAAGATGACGGTCGTCAACACAGTATAAATTTCGGCTAAGCCCTATAAAAATATTTTATATTTAGTATTTATTCCTTGATTTAAAAGGTTCTTGTTCTCTAAACAGAGAGAATTGTACATACATCTATATTTACAATCTTTATTTTGTAATTATTTCAGATTAAATTTCAGCAATAGATTTCCCCTTGAGATTCCATGGGATTCAATCTCAGTGTAAATTGTAAGATGCCCTTGTAAATCCCGGATAAATAGAATAGACAGCAACGGGAATGAGTGTCGGAATTTACCGTGTTCTTTTATTACTTTATGAACGTGTAATTCCTATAAAATATATCTCGAAATGACATCAGTCAGTGGCAGTTGTTATATAGTATATCAATCTGGTCGGATTACATTTTTATTCGTGTTAATTTAGGAAATAACCTTTCTTTAATTGCCTCTGGGTATTTTAAAGTGTGCTTAAAGATATTTGGATTGATAATGAAACGATTTACTTCTTCCATTATCCAATACTTATATAAGTAGTAGATAATAAATCAAAATAATTCAATTTAAATAAAAATGTTGAACAAAAGGCTTTTTTGTTTAAATTCCCCGATAGAAATGTATACTAATAATAATTGGCTTGTATTAATAAATGAGTATTAATGAAGAATTTATGTAATCATATAGATGGTATAAGAGACTCTGCTCTTTGCTAAGCAAGGTTTAATGGAACATTTAATGGAATCGCATACATTATCACGAGCAACAACGATAAACGAAATGGGACGAGTGTTTGAATGGTTGGTACGTGTTGGAACTAGTAGCGACATCTACGAATAAAAGCTAGCTTCAAATTACACGATTCACTGTTTCAGGCTTTAATTTTCTCTGTTGATGTTCGGAAAAATAGGTAATTGGGTCGCGGGCTACCCCCTTTACTGTATTGCGAAACAGGGTAGAAGCTTTCCTTTCATCTTTAAGTGAGGCCTAGTACCTCGACATACTTGGTTCTATGATTTTACATAATTAAATTATAATCGTAATAAACCGTGAACCGCAATTTTGAGAAAGGATTTTGGAGAGACACAAAAGGAGCTTAATAATTATTATATCAGTAATCTACTAAGTTATACTCGGTGGATCATCTCCTTTATTATAATGGGTTCTTTTGGGAATATTTACTTTTCCTCTTTTTTTTATTCTATAATGATTTCGCACAAAAAAAGTCCCTTTTGGTACATTTTCGCCCATCCGTCCGTCCCTCCGACACAGCACTACTCGTATATAATATTTCAACAACTATCGATTAGAAAATTGGAATAGTTTTAGATATTATTACCCCAAATAGTTTAACTGAGGTATCACATGAAGGGATTTTATTTGCACATTCCAGACCTGGTTACAGGGTCCTTGGGATGAAAAGGGATGTTTGTCATACCCTTCTAAATTTAAATTTCCAATTTTATCCCACAAAAAAGGACTCTTCTACTCGTACTCTATTTACTGTTAGAATTTTTGCACTCATGTAATATATCGAGTTAAATTGACGAACAATGAATGTGAACATTACAATCGCAAATTTAACGATCTCAAAACTATTATCCTATCTAAATTCCAGTTTTTTCCTAAAAAAAATATATAAACCTAAGAAAGGTTCTATATAAAATATAGGTACTGTTATGAACATAAAATATAGTTAAATCTGTATAATTATTCTTTAGTGATGTTTATTAATAACGGTATTTAATTTTACTATATATTTATTATTTATGTAATTAAGGATGTATTCCATCTAGTAAGGGATCGTGCCTACACTGCGTTTGCACGTACGAGGTTGCCACTCACCTTTCTTTTTCATCGGATGTCTTGACTATATGGAGTGGCAATCTCAAATGCATTGTAGAGAGTCAATAGATACAATTCCTTTTGGCTTGTCCATTTAGTTTTTGGTTGTGACATTGTATGTGACATTGTTAATATATAAAATTGTTGTATTTTTGTAATTTTGCACTTGTAGTCTAAAAATCCTATCGTATTCAACACAATGTAATATTGTTATAGAATAAATTAAATTGAATTGAATTGAATTAGCAGACTACAAGGAAAGGCTTATGTTCAGCAGTGGACAGATAATGGCTGAGATTATGATAATGATGAAGATGTATTACAGTCGTAGTAGTCTTTAAACAGTTCACGAAAAACAACAATACTAAGCAATCTGATACTTACTCTCAGGGACGCTTTATCGACTATATCCTTTAATGGAGATCTTTTATCTTACCTACCGTCACTCGATATTGGCCATTTCTCACTGTCATCCATTAATTACGCATCTTAGATAAATTTATATAAACAACGATGTTTGAAATTTCGTTTGCCATTTAAAAACATTAGTGGCATTAAAATATATAAAGAAAATAGAAATATATGTATCTTTTATTAAATTCAGTACAATTACAGGTTTATTCTTAGAATATATAAGAGTGGCACAAGCTAAAAAGATTGTTACACTCTGTAATTGTTATTTATAGATAAGTACAGAGGTATTTTCATCATCGTCTTTTTTTTATATCAGCCGTTAATCGTTCATTGTTAAACATACGATTTCTCCATAAGGCCCCCCTTTGCCAATAATTGTTACACTTGACGGATTAGTAAAAACAGCTAAGCTTTTGGTGATGTATTAAGAGAGACACTGCTGCCCATCACTCTAACATTCAAGTTCCCTTAGTCGCCTCTTACGATACCCACGGGAAAGTAAACGGTGGCCCATTTTATGCCGGGTCCACAAGACAGAAATATTTATAGTTTCATTTTTATTTATCAGGATCCGATGGCTTCGTACGATGTGAACTCTCACGACTCGAACCCGCAACCTCGGTATGACACTATTGACTCAAATCGCCACGGGACCAGGTGTGCCGGGGAGGTTGCAGCCACTGCTAACAACTCCTTGTGTGCTGTTGGTGTCGCGTTCGGAGCTAGTGTAGGAGGTAAGACGATCTGTTTTATTATGTATTTATCATCATTAACTGTACAGTTTTCTATAATTTTTCAATATTATAATATAATCTGTGACCTTTATGGAGAATCATTAGCGTTCATCACACCATCAGGAGGGCTATCAACTTTTACACCTTTTAAATATCCATATAAAAGGAGGTTACCAGTTCGCTTATATTTATTTGATTTATTTAACTATTTAGAATTCATTATTAAAATTTTTTTAAATTATATTAAGAAGGCACAATCTAATTTATAACTCTCTTTGCAATCGAGAGGGTGTATTTACCCTATCGATTGCAGAATAAATTATCGCGTAACGAAATTAATATAAGTCAACATGGGTATCCGTGATGCTCCCATGTTAATTTTATTACGATTAAAGTCGTGCTTTATTGCCTAATAAAATTTTAAATGGTTAAATTTGTATAATCTTATCTTACTTATATAACAAAATTGGAACTAGGTAATGACTGCACATTGGAGGTATTTAATGAAACTGATATGAGGGGTCTTAATAAAACCAATAGAAGTCTGATTTATGTTTGTTCCGACGTCATGCAAAAATTACTACACAAGATTGTATGCGGTTTTCACTGTCGTATTTCAGAAGTTTTAACTTAATTATACACGATATATATATATAAGTGACGTACTGAAAAAGGGCCAAATTAAAAATACCCGTAACCGACGAGCGTATACGAAAAGATTGATTAATGTGGAGGAAGCGAAAGAGGTTTGTTTAAATCGAAGCATCTGGCGTTCCATTGTTTCTGCCTACCCTAACGGAAGACAGGCGTGACATATTATATATTATTATACGTATTATACTCGTTTTTATGCATATATACGTAAGTAAACCTAGAAAAAATCGTACCATCTGAAAACTCGCGAAGTGCAATAAAAGCTTCCTCGGGGGTACACAAAAAATAAAATATACACACTTACCGGTCGTGCGCCTCTTTATGCTGTAATACGTTTTTATTACGCTCGTATCTCTTTAAATATAACCATACGAAACGTGAAGCTGTCTGCATCGTGTCAGTATATAAGAACTGTGAAATTTTCTGAATTTACCACCACTGGTAGAGATATGAAAATACCTTCAGGGCATGGAGTTATTACGCTCGGTGGCGTGGCGTGTGTGGAAGTTGGCTAATAAGAACTGCTGTAGTTCTGTGTTGGCAAATGAACTAATATTCAGTAATAAGGACACAGCTGATGCGTTCATTTTAAATGTAGGATTTATTTATTCTTTAGTTCGAGATATGTGTACAAGGAGGATTTAGTGCTAAAAATATTCTCCCCCAGTTAACTTTAGGGAAAACTTGAACGCGGTATTAGTATTAATTTATATACATATATATAAATAACAAATGGACTGACACATATATAAGATATTTTATACACGAAAATGAGAATGGTAGAACTATTAAAGGTTTAATAAATATAGTAAGTACTCTTGAAAGGAATGATATAAATTTATTTATGCGTTTTTACCATTTGATGATATATGATTCGATAAAGTGATTAATACACTCCTATTTGATCCTTACATAATACAAATATTTATATTTTGTAGAGGACCAAGTGTGTTATTAATATTTTTTTAATAAATACCACTGGACATGTACCTAGCACACATCTAGACTTTTTTGTAAATACATATTATTATTATACATAGAAAACAATCAGACTAATACAAACAGTCATCTTCATGAAATAATTTTTTTTGTATTGTGCGGGGACCGAACTAGCGACCATCGGAAGATGAAGCGATGTATTAAACCGCTATACCACCAAGGTCGTCTTTATTAAATAATTATATTTTTATAATTTTTATATTACTACAAAAAAGAAGGTTCTTAATTTTTTTCTTTTAATTTTTTTATTTGATGTAATAAAAATTTTATTACAATCGTTTCAATAGTTTAATTTTTAAATCAAAATTACTGGTTTTGCTATAATTGATGTCGGATTTTTTTGTTTTTTGTAAAACATAATTTTAATTAATTACACTAGATAATGTTTATAAAAATGTATTTAACTGTATGTTTATTATTATAATATTATTAAAAGGGAGCTAAGAACAAGGAATTCCGGAATGTTTGCAAAAGATGGAATTTAAAATGTGAAAATGTAAACTACATATATATACTCCCTTGTAGTAATCTCAATATCCGAAAAAAATTGATGGATTAATACTCGTAGTACTATATTCAATTTCTCAGAATCAATGTTTCATGTTTTCAATAAACCAAACGAAAACTATGATATATAAAACACGGTTATATATTTTATTGGATCCATTTATTGCTGTCATTATTATTCTATACGCGATTGCTTTTTACCCACAGCTTCGGTCGGCTGGAAGTTTGATCCCAGGGGGAATGTATAAATTTAAACTATTACTATTTGGATACCTTTTTAGCCGATTTCTCAAAAAAGGGCGGATTATATTTTGCCGCATTATGAATTTTAATAAAATTAATGAGGTCTCATTATATAAATCATACTAATATTATGAATGTGAAAGTTTCTAAAGATGTTGGAATGTTTCAATTACTTTTCTTAATTTCAATTACAGCTGACAGAATCAGAATCGATATATAAAGTTTCCTATAAGTTAGGTTAGGATATAATTTAGTTGTGCAAAAAACTTTATTCCAATTTTTTCAGCAGGTTAAGCGTGAATGATTAACATAAAAAGATATATATCTACCAAATATAAAATAGAGCATAATTTAATCCACGGATATAACAATTTACATAATATATATTCATATATTATATACATAGTTATTAACTGTACCTATCGATCGTATAATTACGATTATTCTGTTTGAAGAAGTAAACATTATTATCCATGGACTACTCGGACGGTTCTTTGATATTCTAAGGAGTCAAATGACATGGAGATGCTATCAAAAACAGCGATAATTTGTCTCTAGATCAGAATTAACTAGTCTTCGACTGAATTCCAGAAAAAAGTGGGGTTTGCAGTTCGGTTGTATTATTTATGTTTGTTACCTCATAACTTCGTGATTTATAAACCGATTTGAAAAATTATTTGTTCATCTTAAAGGATAAGCTTTCAGATTGGTCACATAATGTTTTTTTTTTTACAAAAAATGATTCAGTAGTTGTTAATCAAAATAACTGTTAACCAATTATTAGGTTTAGTAGGTTTTTTTTTTTTTGTGGAATATCTAAATCTTAAGTTTTCGTATAGCAATCTGTATAGATAATTAAAAAAAAAGCATTAATATACATCAATCATCATCATCACATCAGCCGTCTAGTATCCACTAATGAACTGCTAAGACCTCCCCATAAAGGGTGATTTGGCTGTAGTTGCCACGATTAACAGGAGATTTGGCGACCGCAGTTAGGCTTTGGTGATGTTCTAAAAGGGTCGCTGTTGCCCATCTCTAGATCATGAAGTTCACGTAGTTGCTTCCTATGATACCCACGGAAAAGGAAGGCCTGGCCTATCTATATCGGGACCATACGGAAAATCAATATACATACATCAAATTCAAATCATCTTTATTCAGACTTGTTTACAAGCACTTTTAAATCGTCGAGTTTTCTTAATCTGCTATATATAATTAATTAATGTAACCAAATCCTTAATACTAGTGTTAATATGCATTATTTTTTTCTTGGAAATTTTTAATTACATTTTTATGTTTTGATAATTTTGTTTTGTAGAAAAAAAAAAAAGGAATATTTTGAGGCCCTATTAATGAATACTATAACACCAGTTATAAAGACTGGATTGCATTAATAGACATGATATTTACTTATGTAACTTTAAAGAGACGTTGTATGCGAACATGACCTATATGCTGAGAAGAAGTTAAGAAGTTAAACAGAATCTACTAGACGGATTTCAATGAAATTTGGTACATGCGTTACCTACGCATCAATCTATCTATCTATCTCATACTCTACTCAATCAACTCATAGAATACTTAATACGTTTACTGATTTACACAGACGACGTTGCAGAATATAACTTTGTTATATTTATTATACTTATTCGTCTATCTCCTACTTCTATTATAAATGTCAAAGTTTTTGATGTTGGATGAATGTTTGTTACTCTTTCTTGGCAAAGGTACTGAACGGATTTTAATAAAAAAATATTTTAGTTATATCCTTTTCGTAACTTTGAACATTGAATATATTGATTAATACAGGAAAAACCGTAGGCTACAGCTAATGAATAATAATTATATGCCTGCTCATCGTACTAATGAACATAATAATAATAAAAGAATAAGGCTAATGAACACTATAACAAACACCCGCTTGACATAAGGTCTACCCTAAGCAAAGTAGCATTTAAACATAAATTGCGCTCCTATTTAAAAAAAAAAAGACCAATTTATAAACTTCTATCCCTTTTATTTATTTATTTTTTTCTCACTTTCCCTTTAAACTTAATCTTGCTGGTTACTCCGATTTGTGTTATAGATTGTTTCACTTGCTCTTCTAATACAGTTGTTTGTTATAGTAATATTTATGTATATATTTATTTAATATATTATGTGTATGTTTATATTAGTCTATTTATATGTTTATAATATATGAATATATTAAGTATTACTTTTTATATCTCCTGAATTCAATAATTCACCGCCTATTTATTTCTCGTTTTGCCCAATGGTTGACTGGTAGAAAACACTATCCGGTGTTAAGTCGACCATATGTACATAGTTTCACTATGTATTAAAATTAAAATAAATAAATAGATTTGCACTAATAAAAATTGAAGTCTAAATGCTTTTTCTTGCAGACAGAATACTAAAAATATATATTTCAATATTTTTCTGACCTACTGACATAAGTTACTGCATCTTATTTATTGCTTGTTTATGACTTTATCTAAGAAACATTCAGTATTAATAACTGTTATTAAAACTCGAAGATACTCTTTCCGTTAACCTAATTCCAACATCGCTTAATTTTAATTGTAAGCGACTTTGAGTCGAGTTACCCGTGCATATCAAGTGGTTGCCCATCAGATATTAATTTACCTACTATCTTCGGTTTACGAAAATCCAATTACCAACTTCACTTTGGATAATATAAAATCGATTGAGGGAATCATTAATTTTGTAAATTTTCAGGTACTGTTACATAATTCAATCGCTGCGTTCTATTTTGGTATTGATAAATTTAAAGTCAATTAACAAAGATAGCTTGAACTATTTTCGCTATTATTAGGAAGCATGCGGCCTACCCACTCACAGATCCTTTATACCACTTTACTTAGTGTACCTTTATTTATCCATTTTAGCTATACCCTATGAGTATATCCATATCAATAAATTATCCATTCGATTATGCCAATCACTCTAATATTCAATTTCACTTCATCTATTCCTACCGTATCTAATTGCGGTACGCCTTTACGTGTCATCTCTAAACATTGATATTGTTGCAAGGAAGAGTCACTCTATTATCTACGAAACCCACAATTATCGAGTAGTAGGGGGATAGGAATTGTTAGTAATGCCTAGTACGAGGTCTGTCCGGAAAATTCGTATAAAAGTGTTCTGGAATGCGAGAAAGAGGAGTGGGGGCCAGGTGCGCAGGACCCCTTCCTTATGTCCCTAACAATGCTTCAGTTCTGGTCTACTGGCTTGTCACGCCATCTGTGAAGTTACCTCTTAACGAAACCCCGTCGGCATAGAGCCCGCTTCCGTTGAAGAGCAGCGCGTCGTAATCAAGTTTCTCTCGAAACTCGGCAAGAATGGCCGTGAAATTTTTGCCGATCTCAGAACAGTTTATGGGGATGATGCTGTGAAGGAACCAACCGTCCACAAGTGGCTAAAAAGATTCAGAGAGGGCCGAGAAAGAGTTCGATGTTCGGGGGATTGTCCATCAAGAATTCGTCCCTCCAGGCCACCAGTTGATGGAAAATTCTACGTCGATGTGCTCAGACGCCTCAAAGCTCGTGTGGCACGAGTTCGTCCAGAATTGGCGCGAGAGGGGCGTTGGATTCTTCACCACGACAATGCCCCTGCCCAACCTCTCTTGTTGTCCGTGAGTTTTTGAGTAAAAATTCCATGACGGTGACCGAACACCCCCCCTATCGCCGGATTTGGCCCCGTGTGACTTCTTCTTGTTCCCAAAAACCAAATTGGTACTTCGGGGGCGGCATTTGGGGGACATAAATGAGATAAAAAAAATGAGAAACCTACAACCAGAGGACTTTCAAGGATGGAAACGGCGTTGGCACAATGCATTATGTCACAGGGGGAGTACTTTGAAGGGGATAAAATTGATTTACCTGAATAATTGTAAAATAAAATTTTTAAAAAACTTTTATACGTACTTTCCGGACAAACCTCGTATTGTTAAATAGTCAGGTCGACCTCCACGTGGTCCTAACCTGGAAACCATCGTGCTAAATTCCTGGTGTATTCATCACGTGTAATATTCACTGATATGGCTTTTCATCTCGTCTATCATCCCTCACTGGTGCCCCGTCAGTGTCCCCGTTAACGCAGGCGGGGTTACTATTGCATTGTCATCCATTAAAAAAACTACCGAGGAACAATGTAATTATTAATAATGGGATATAATAGCTTCATTGCTAGCAAAGTACCCTATTAGGTCATCCTCCACGCGTTTCCCCTGGAAATTGTCATGGCCAATTCTTGTGAAATTAGTTACAAAGGGCCAACTGATCGGCTTTCATCCTCACTTGAATGAATACATACTTGTAAACAAAAATCTGTCAACATTCGATATGCTTATATGCTTTGATGGCATAGACTTTTTTTGTAGTTGTGTGTGAGAGTTATTTTTTTATAATAGGTGAGAATGAAATCGAGCTACACCTGCGTATATCGACAGCACAGGTAGGATTCCATTCCATTTTCACCTATTAAAAAAAAACCTAAAACTACGAAAAAAGTTGTCTACCCCATCAAAGCACATAGGCAAATCGATTGATGTAGACTTTACTAGTATGTATCCGTTTTTACTTTGAAGTACCGTTACATGCTTCAGCAGTGTAAATTCAAATTTATCTTTATTCAAACAAAAAATGTTTACAAACTCTTTTAAATCGTCATCTGTTATAACTCTACTGCTGGCTTCAGAATGTTATTATGAGAAGAAATTGTAAGAACTCAACAGTTACTCTTTTAAATCTCTGTTAACAATATTTGTACTAATAAGCTAGTGCCATTCCATTCTAAAGAACTATATAGATGGATGAAAGTTTGTTAATTTTGACTCAAGAGCAACTAAACTGATTTAAATGATATTTGGTACAGATTCAATCATATAATGGGCAAAATAATCTTTCAGTGTATAAAAACATTTTGTTATTAACCATTTACATAAAATGACTTTAAACCTTACGATGAGTAACTGTTACATGATATCAGGATGTCTAATAGTGAATTTATAGAAGTCATCTTTTTTTTTAAAATGTCACTAAAGCTGCTTAAAACTGCGGTTGTCAAGGTCGCTTATTACAGTCCATCTTAGTATAAACCTCTGTTAATAGTAGATGGATGAAAGTTTGTTAAACAATTGAGGGACATCATTATGTCATGCCCATTGTGTTGTCGACAGCTATAACTTTCCATTGGCGGAGACATTAGCTTGTTTGACATTGCTAATATAATAGTAAATATAAATAATTTAACGAAAATATTACAAGATTTTTTTTTATCTATCTTTGCAAAAGAATAGTTTTTATATATCATCCGCTTATCTCAATGCTACAAGGACACTAAAAGAGATTTCACTTTCTTCTACGCTCTTTTTGCTCTTTTCATATAGTGAGAGGATACGCTACGAAGATGCAATAAGTTACATAATATTTTCGAGTCTCTCGTAGTGTAGCCGAAGTTTTAACGAAATTAGATTTTTTAGCGTTTGACCTCCGTCTTGTATTATCATGGATATATGTTAAGTTTCATGCAGACGATAATCTATGTTTACAATATATGTTGATGTTATTTACTATTAATCCGACCTGCTCGGCTTCATACGGGTAGACAGAATTTTCGAAAATAATACAAAAAAAAATGTTACTCGTTGATAAAGTAGTTATCTATGGGTGAAAGAATTTTTAAAATCGTTTGAGTAGTTTCTGAATTTATTCATTACAAACAAATAAATGAATAATCATTCATTTAATAATATTATTATTATGTGTTTATCTATTTATGTATGAAATCAGAATTGTAAGTTTGTGAACATTAAATAATGTGAAGGAATTAAAACAGGTTAGTAACATGAACTATGGTATTATTTTATCTTCTTATTTACGAGTACAAAAATCTCGTGTCACGGTGTTTGTAGTAAACCGATTTCTATAAATTTATTTATCTACATTTGGTAGGTCGTAATGTATATTTAATACCGCTAGGTGATAAGGGTATCCCTATCCAGAAAAAAAGATTTATATGGCAGAACTACGTTTAACGGATCAGATGGTCATCCACATATTAGCCGTTAATTGTCATAAAGAGGATTTTACTAATAGTTGCCACGCTTGGCAGGTGGATTGGCAACCATACTTAGGCTTTTGGTGATGTTTTAAGAGGGTCGCTGCTGCCAATCCCACGACCATTAAGTTCCCTTAATCACCTCTTACGACACTTACGGAAAAGGAATGGGTGGCCACACACACACATTCTATGCCAGGATCATACGGCAAAGATCAGCTAGAAGATTATAATAATTTATAATGGCTTGTTCTTTATATCAGGTGTTCGAATGCTGGATGGTGACGTCACGGATGCTGTAGAAGCTCGCTCTCTAAGCCTTAACCCGCAGCATGTTGATATCTACAGTGCTTCATGGGGACCAGATGATGATGGAAAAACTGTGGACGGCCCTGGAGAACTAGCCACTAGAGCCTTCATTGAGGGCGTCACTAAGGTACGTAGTAGTTTATGTATAGTTTTTACTAATAATATATATGTGAAAGTGAGTTCTGTTATTTATTGACGTTATAGGGGCTTTTTTTTATACAACTTAGAATGGCAAACAAGCTGACAGTACACCTGATGGAAAGTGGTAACCATCGCCTATAGACATGAGCAGTACCATGGACATAACAGACTATACTGTTTTGCCCATGATACCCCCCATGCGTTGCCATTCCTGAGGACTCAGGTGTTATTCCTCTGTACTCAACCAATCATCATGAAATTTGGCGTGTATGTAATATTATGCTCGGAAAAAAACATAGGTTATTTTTAATCTTGATGGAGACTAAATTTCGGGTACAGTTTTTTTATGAAAATATCTATGTATCATATTAATTTGTGTAAGAAACTGGTAGTGATTCAATATTTTTAGCATGCCTCCTGCATTATATTTTGGGACACATTATTCTGTCTAAACATATCAGTTGGATGGGTGGTAGTTTTTTAGACTGTGATAATTTTACTAATATAGGTACATACGGGAGAATATATACTAATGTCATCCAATACTCCATTAACCATAATTAGTTCACAATCGAATAAAAGAAGTGGCAAGAGCGCTCTACATTAGTATGCATAGTGCTAAAATAAACTATATTAGTTTTTAATTTTCAACTGGCTTCCATAAAATATTATTCTATGACGTTAAATGAACTTTGAAATGAGTGTTCTATTGTTGGAACCAAATAATTTTCTCGATGAAAAACTATAAATTAATCTAGTAATAACTCAATCAGTGTATTATTAATATCAATCCGCTATGCAATAATAAATCCTATGTAATGTGTGTCATTCTAACACATTGTTTTAATTCCCTGTCATTTCACTGTCGTATACAAAAGAAATAGCACTAGTTAATTTAGCGCTTGAAAATTCTACATTAGTACATTCGTACTAAAATATATATTTTTTATTTAGCGTATAAACGAGAATGAGAGAATATCGTTTAAAAATATATATGAGAGTTCATCTCACTCTGACTGTGCAGTCATGGTACATAAAGTCCAATATACAACAGCGACTGCATTAAATTCGCAACTTTAATTTGTCGTATTCCAGTAGCCGTCGAAAATTCGTCTTTGTGCAATGTGTACTAAGATCACTTTTAGTTTATAAATAAACGTCGATTTTATAACTAAGTTAGTGAAGGGTGCACATGGCAGCTAGCGAGGCGACACTTCGCTCCGGTAATTTCTGTAATGGTGCAATTACTTTCTCTCTATTTTCTGCACTATATGGTCAAGCGCTCGACGGCCGTAAAATTTACATAATGCCGTATGGCTTTTCAGCTATACAAAGTTTAGTTTGCTTCTCATTTATACGATAGATATTTATTTATATACTTCTTTTAATCGTTTTAATTTTTTTATGACTCGACTGTGATAAATAGTACGTGCTTATATAAAATAATAATAATAATACTAAATAGGAGTATTAAGTGAAGTCTGTCACTGCATTCGCGTAAATATAGGATGAAATAGTAATATTTACGAGTGTATAAGTAAAAGTGAACGTTTTCTCGGGAAAAAGCATGGGTCAAAAAAGAAAAATATTAGCGTCACATACCAAATTGACAGCTGAACGTGAGTGTTGTTATCATGCGAGACTTACAATAGTTGTCATACTTAGTGTGTTTTTTTTTGTAAAAAAAAAAATATATTTACTGATAGAACGCTCTATTAGAAGAATATTTATAATTTTAGCCTAACTCGAATTTTAACATCAGGTCAAAGTTAAAGTTATTTTGTATGGAGTTGACGATAAAAAATAAACCAATAGTAAAGGAGCTTGAAGAATTTGTGAATATAAAGAAAGCAAGGGAAATAATAGTAAATTACTTTGTGTAATCTTGCCTAATGTGTTAAATGGCGTAGGTATATAATTATAATAATTGTGTCTAGTGTAATTTATTATAAAGTACAAACAATTTGATCAATTTAAAAATTTAACTCGGGACGGTGAGACTCGGCAAATTAATGACACACGTGGGAGTCGAATCGTACGTACCTACCTACTAACGAATACGAGACAAACCATTTACAAAATACCTATATGAATTGTTTTAATTTAATTTTAGAAAGTTGGATCTAAATTTATTCCCGTATATTCAGCGTGTAATACATAATTTTAATGTTGTATAAATTAGGACCACTTTACATATTCATGTATCTAAAACAAGAAACTGAAGTACTCTACTAGTTGGTGGATATTTTAAATTAAAATTAAAACAGTAAATCTGAATTGATTTTGATATTCATTTTTAGAATCGCTCTCCTCTATTAGTCTATGTAGTTTATAACGATTAAAACAATTATTATTCTTTGTCGAAAAAAAATCCAAATTGCGTGATCCAGGGCAAAATTTTTTATAGACACGATTTTACATTCTAAATGAAACATTTTGTTATATCTTTATTTTTAAATAAGAATAATTAGATTACTATAGTTAGTATTCATTTTATTATAATTCAGAGCAAGTCTACTTACAATATACAATTAAATTTATAGAGGCAATAAAAATAAACTTCACATTAATAATATTAGCAAGTATTATACCTACTCAAATAATATTACAATTTAAAATTCATTTCTCCACACCAGGGTCGTAACGGTAAAGGGTCCATATTCGTTTGGGCGTCAGGGAATGGCGGCCGCGAACATGACAACTGCAACTGCGATGGCTACACAAACTCGATATGGACGCTGTCGATCTCATCGGCGACCGAGCGGGGCGAGGTACCTTGGTACTCAGAGATGTGTAGTTCCACCTTAGCGGCTACGTACAGCAGTGGTGCGATTAATGAAAAACAGGTAAAATATATTTTTTTTTTTTTCTATTATGATCCGAGATAAAAAAAGGTGCTAATTCTGCCATCAATTTTATCTTTTGCTTTTATTGTTAATTTAATTACTCGTATTAAAACATTTCTTCAAAAGGAAACAAAAGACTTTCACAAGATCTTTCCCTTAAACTAATAAATATATGCTATTATTTTATATAGTTTTTACACTAAATGATTTAATTACTTTAATATCAGATTCTATTCCAACGAATTTTTCATTAAGTGATTCAATTTATTTTATTAGTATCTGACTGAATATTGGTAATATAAAGTTGTAATAAAATATCTGTCTAGGATTTTTGACCTTTGTCTGGGATATTTTCTTTAAATACACGTAATGTAGAAAATATTCCAGACATAAATAAGCATACTTGTAAGTGCACATGTTTTATGCAACTCTAAAAATTTTATGAATTCGTCTAAACTAACACATTGTCAATTATTTAAACGGTTTATATTAAACGGTTTTATTCAACTTACCTTATTTGTCTCTTATTTGGGTTAACTCTAGTTAATGAAATTTTACCCTTTTCCTGCTAACCGATCGATCTGAAATTTGGTACACAACTTTAGTACTGATGATTATGAGGAGAGTGGTATTATGACTGGTGCTTGGTATTATTTTTTAGCTTTTAGTATATTATCTGCATCATTGTTGTTTCTTTACTATAAAACCGTTTTTTTTTTATTTCTTTATTTTTTATTTATATTTTATTGTACATAAAAATTACATTATTATAATTTATTTTGTATAAAGATGTATAACAGGCGAGCTTAACTTTACAAGAGTTTATTTTTTTCTAAGGAAGCAGCGCATTTTATCCAGTACATTGTATTGAAAGTAGATTATAATATTATAAAAAAGAGTGAATAAAGTAAAAAGGTTACACTTGTCTCTGATAGTTCAATATGTTGACATCTTTGCCTTTATTTTATTCTTAAAGGGACGACCTAAAAAAGTTACTAACTTTTGGGTCAAACGAAATTGTTTTTCGTACAATAAGTCGAGCGAGAGCCTTTAACATGAAAACGATGCATATTTATGAATCATATTTATGCTGGCACCTTGAATATACATTCTCCTTAAATAAATAAATGACTATAGACTGTCTCTTATCAAAAGATACCGTAGATTTCTTTATCATTTTAAGTGTAAAAAGTCTTCGGTTAAACGTAGAAAAAAAAAACCAAAATACTATTCATTTTCCTTGGTCGGAAATTAAAAATATAACTTTGGTTATTATAGGTTCCTATACAAACCATCTATTTTTTACAGCGGTAAAGAAAATAATGGAATATTAGCATTTTTATATCTACATATAAGTACAGTACTATGATAGGTAAAATTATATAGTCTGCTGTATTATTTTACCTATTATAATATCTATAATTAATATTTATTTATTAATGGTTGCTATAATTACCATGCTAAGTCGTTTTACTTCCTAAATGGCTAATAATTAAAAATTGTTTCACAAAAAACCGCCTTCAATTGTGACAAAACCAATTATATTAATTTTAAAACTAAACTACTGGGCCGATATTGATAAAATCTCTATAGATCCAATAATATCTATCAATAATATAAAAAAATATCCTTTCATATAAAAAAACCAAATCAATTTAGAACTGAGGGAGTTATGAGGTAACAAAAAAAGTAACCGAATTGAGAACTTGCTTTTAGTTGAAGTATAAGATTTTTATTTTTATGGCAACATTGATATTTCTTTTTTACAATTAATTACGTAAAAACGCGATTTCATTCGTAACAAAATTTGTTACAGATAAAATCAATAATAAGTAATAGTATAAGAAGTTCCTAAATTTATTAAAATGAATCAATTGTACTATAATGTACTATATTTATTACCAGGTAATAACTACCGATCTACGTCACTCATGTACCGCCGGCCACACTGGCACGTCGGCATCTGCGCCGCTCGCCGCAGGCATCTGTGCGTTGGCGCTGCAAGCGAACAGAGACCTAACTTGGAGGGATATGCAGCATATTGGTATGTTCAAAACTTTTAAATTTTTTTGTCGATATAAAAAGTATATGAATAAAACTACGTAAGTAATTCATCTTTTATTATATTTTATTTATCTAATATATATCGTACCAATAAAAACATATTTGCTAATATAATCTACTAGCTGTATCCCACGGGTTTACTCTTGATCGTATCATGATTTTGAAGAACCAATAATTTTCCTCCATAAATGCAAAAATGCTTTTTGCATTTGATAGCTTTAATCTGCTTTCTCAAGGTTTGGATTATACAGCCATACGTTATTATTGCGAGGATGCACTGGTCGCCAACTCTTACTTTATAATGTCAAATTCAAACTTTCACGAACTCGCTTACATACTTGCCTATCTAGATAGAGTATACTCTCGTACGAGTGTACTTGACAAAACTTATAATTGAAATGTTAAGCACTGGATTAAGTTTGACAGCTTGTACGTTGCAACTTGCGTCACACAACAACTAAATGATAATAACACTGTCTAGCGTAATTATAATAGTGATTTTGAATCGACAACTTGCACGTGGCATCCCTAGTGTTACAGGCGTCATAGACTACAGTAACCATTTACCATCAAATGAGCTGTATGCTTGTTTGCTGTTTATGGCATAAAAAAAAGTACATCAATATTTACTATTAACTAAAAGTTGTTCTTTATTAAATAGAAAAGCGATGTAAAATAATTTAGTAGGTAGACTTAGCATATCCACATATTCGACTCTACAAATAATTCTTACGCTCATATACATACACACACTCACTCACTCTATCTATACTCTCTTTCTCTCTCTCTCCTCTCTCTCTCTCTCTCCTCTCTCTCTCTCCCTCTCTCCCTCTCTCTATCTCTCTCTCTTTCTTTTATAAACAACAAATACAGTCTGTAGTTTATAGATAATGTTACCTAAATTATAATTCTAATAAATTTCAAGTATTTAATACATATTAATATATAGAATAAACTTATTATTCTCACAATTCTAGCTTGATTTTTATCTGTCTATTATAATATTAATTACGTAGTCTATAATAATGGAGCACTAGTGACTTGTAACACAGATCTTTTCAAACCTACTGCCGGCACCAGTCTCTCACAATACTGGTCTTACATATTTAATTGTAACTCAAACAGTAACTCTACTACATTTTGCGAAGACAAAAATGATTCATTTAAGCTGAAACTGAATTCCTTAGGGTGCTTAATTACTACATCACTTATCGCAATAATTAGGAACGTGCTTAGAGAGAAGAGCATTTAAGTGGAGACTATTTAAACTATATACTAACAATGAAGTTATTATTTATTAACCTCTATTATATTATGAAAAGTAAATTGATTTCTCTGTTTCTGAGAAAAAGGTACACTATTTGTTCAGTGATCCCACGTATAACGGGAGACACTCACTTCCAAATTACAATCGCATTGTTCTGAGTGAAAATGAAGGTAAGAAAAATAATTAATGGCCATTAGGCGTACAACTGTAATCATGTGGAGGTACAGGGTCCTCGGTTCACAATTCAAAGCTCCTCCTGTCATGTCGTATAATTGGCGTTCGTGAGCGGCTATTTTTATCTATTCTGAGAATTATTTTTCTTAAAGCAGAAAGTTATATTGAAAATTTGTTATTTTACTACGTTATAAATTGCGGTAAATAATTTTACTAGGTACAAAGAATGCATAGGAAATTCAACTGATAAAAATTCGTAACATTGTAATAAAACAACATAACAGATTGTAACACTGATTGCGTGCATTACCTTGCCTGTATCTCTTGCCTATATATCTCCAAGACTTATTGTTTTTTTTACTAATAATTTCTACCAATCTTCAACTTAAGGAAAATATTTCATGGATTTATCAATCTTGCTGCTAACTAATGTGTGGTATATCTATAAAATGACGCGTAATATATATATATATATATATATATATATATATATATATATATATATATATATATATATACGAGGTTTGTCCGGAAAGTACGTATAAAAGTTTTTTTAAAAATTTTATTTTACAATTATTCAGGTAAATCAATTTTATCCCCTTCAAAGTACTCCCCCTGTGACATAATGCACTTGTGCCAACGCCGTTTCCACTGTGAGAAGGCTCCTTGAAAGTCCTCTGGTTGTAGGTTTCTCAGCTGCCCCGTCGTAGCTTTTTTTATCTCATTTATGTCCCCCAAATGCCGCCCCCGAAGTACCAATTTGGTTTTTGGGAACAAGAAGAAGTCACACGGGGCCAAATCCGGCGAATAGGGGGGGTGTTCGGTCACCGTAATGGAATTTTTACTCAAAAACTCACGGACAACAAGAGAGGTGTGGGCAGGGGCATTGTCGTGGTGAAGAATCCAACGCCCCTCTCGCGCCAATTCTGGACGAACTCGTGCCACACGAGCTTTGAGGCGTCTGAGCACATCGACGTAGAATTTTCCATCAACTGTCTGGCCTGGAGGGACGAATTCTTGATGGACAATCCCCCGAACATCGAAAAAAACAATCAACATTGTCTTGACATTTGAGCGGGATTTTCTTGATTTTTTTGTTCGTGGTTCCCCGGATGTCTTCCACTCTTTGCTTTCACGGCCATTCTTGCCGAGTTTCGAGAGAAACTTGATTACGACGCGCTGCTCTTCAACGGAAGCGGGCTCCATGCCGACGGGGTTTCGTTAAGAGGTAACTTCACAGATGGCGTGACAAGCCAGTTCGCACCGCACGGCGGTCAGACCAGAACTGAAGCATTGTTAGGGACATAAGGAAGGGGTCCTGCGCTTACCTGGCCTCCCCACTCCTCTTTCTCGCATTCCAGAACACTTTTATACGAACTTTCCGGACAGACCTCGTATATATATATATATATATATATATATAAATTTGCCATAAGAACAACAGAATATGGCATAGTTCATCCGACTCAAGACCACTTATTGTCAGCTTAATTTTTAACTCATTTACAGTGGTTAGAACGGCAAGACCTGAACGTCTGAGTCTGGGAGGTGAATGGAGAGTAAATGGCGTTGGAAGGAACGTCTCTCACTCCTTCGGCTACGGTTTACTTGATGCTGCTGGGATGGTACGATTAGCCAAGACCTGGAGGACTGTTCCGCCGCAACGGAGATGCGAGCTGGCTGCACCAAGGGTACAGAGAACTGTGCCCCCAAGGTCTACTGTTACCTTGCAGGTTTGTTAAATAACAACACAATATATGTCCAGACCTAAAATGAAATTATAATTGTGTCATTTACAAATGTTCATCTTCTAAAAGGGTAGTTTGTATTATTTATATTTAATTTTAAATAAAAACTAGATTTGATACCTAGTTTTCAGTAAGAATAAAATATAACTTAGTTATTTCAAACTACGATAGTTATATACATTGTTTTTTTTATTAACGAAAAAAGGTGACGAGATAATTCAGATATAAAAAAGTTTATAGGGAGATCCATTATGTTTGTGCCCACACCATAATTGTTTGGTAGGCACCTCAGTATACGAGCGAAGCTTTCAGTTATGCTCAAAGACTTAACTGCGAGTAAATATGTTCCTTTTTTAAAGAGTCAGATCTCGCTTCTGGAATATAATCTTAAATACATCAATAGCAGTATCAAAGGCATCTAATATCCTTTGAATTATTTACTTTATGTCAAAATCTAATAATTAATATTATTCTACAGCTTGATGTTGCATCATGTCCGGGCGTCAACTACTTAGAACATGTTCAAGCAAGAGTGACACTATCAGCTTTCCGTCGAGGAGATCTACGTATCACGTTGTCTTCGCCAGCGGGTACTAATGTCACACTACTCGCTCCCAGGTAAGGCTGCAAATTGTAATTTCAGTGATGGTGATTAATAAAACAAATATATCTTCAAGTCTTTAAAATTTATTTTCATATATTAAAATCCACTATCACGCCTTCGCTCACGCTAATTTCTAAAACTGATGTTAGAGGTATTTTGTAATTGCATTATTAACTCCAACTTGAGAGATAGAATTATTTTTGCTCTTGTATACGTAGTCGTATACGAAGCCGAGGCGGATCGTTAGTTATTTTATGTAATTATTAAAGACAACGTGTATTCTCTGATTATTAATATTTTAATCACGTCTGATTTGTCACTACTTTTGTTGGAAATATGTAGTAATAATGAAGATTTTATTTCGCACGTCATTTGTAATCAAATCTTGGTGTTATTAAAATATGTGTCATTATACTGATGTTTTCCTGGGTGAGCGTATAGGAAGACTATAAAACTCATCCAGTTGATCAAATAAATAAATAAATAAAAATAAAAAAAAACATCATTATTAAATAATGATTATTTAAATTAGTATCATTCTAATAGCAACATTAAAAAATATCCATAGAGTTCTGCGCTATTTATAGAAGAGGATAAAAGGCTTGCTTTTTTCTCTCAAAACGCTTTAGCGTCTGCTGAGAAAATTTATGGAAAATTTGCGAGAAAGCAAGTATTCTTGAGGCACTACCCTCTAGCTCTGGATATTTGAATACTTAAAAATATCTACGAGTAATTCTTGTAGATCTTACGAGCGGAAATTTGTATCCCAATTTGTTGCTCGGTTCGTTGAAATTTTCTTAAATTTACTGTTCAGCATACATGTTTATAATTAATTAATGGTCGAGGGATGGGTAGCAGACTTCCTCGTAAAACATCACTAAAACATAACTGCGGTTACCAACCCGCCCACTAAACGTGGCAACTACTGGCAAATCGCCCCTTATTGGGTACGCCTATGTTCGTTCAGCCGTGGATAGCTGAAAGTGACTATGATGATGATGATACATGTTTATACAGGCTACTTGTATTACATTAATTTTATGTAGACAATATTGTTATGTGTCATTCTATAGTTTCAGTTTAAAATCTTTATTGTACTAAAAAAAATATCATATACAAAATTGATACCTTATATACATATACCTATAAATCTTCGATCGAAAACGAAACATCGAAACACTTATTACGTTATGCTATATATTTTTTTAAATTCTTATATATCTTTAGAAATATTTATAAAATTGTATGATATATCATAAATAGTAACAATCTACTTTTTTCTACTAACTACTACTTTTCATTCTAACGTGGTAGGATTTTGGCATGTACATGTTCTTGGCGATAAGGCAATTTTTTTTCTGTGTACTTTCTAGAACATGTTTTACACTCGCGTTTAGCCAATGAGATTGTGGTGATAACTTTAATGTTTTTTTTTTTCTCAATACATGGGTCTCCTGATATATTTAAATAAAACTAAAGTTGTTTTTAATGACCACTCGATGTGTAATGTCTACGACCTATCGTCGTTAATACACTTCCTTAATTTGTTTAAAATATCCTTATTCCGGGCAAATATGTAAATTAGGTTTTTTTTTATACAACTTAGAATGGCAAACAAGCTGACATTCCATCTGATGGAAAGTGGTAACCGTCGCCTATAGACATGGGCAGTACCATAGACATAACAGAGTATACTGTTTCACCCATGATACCCCTCATGCGTTGCCATTCCTGAGGACTCAGGTGTTATTCCTCTGTACCCTGTAAATTCACGCCATATCCCACCCTTCAAACTGATACACAGCCATGCAAACACAAATGCTTTACGGTAGAAACACGAATGGGACGGAGGTACCCAAGCAAACGACTTTTGTACAAAGTCTCCCTCTGGTAGGTAAAATCAAATTCAAAAAGGAAACCTATAAAAGGATTTATTTGGATTGAGCAACATTGAGGAAGTTTTGCCACATCTTTAAGTCGTCCATCTCGACTTGAAACTTAAAAATAAAAGTTTTCAATCAATGCGTGCTTGCAGTAATACGAATAACATACGCTGCTCAGACGTGAACGCTGACTGTGGGACTAGTGAATAAGCAGAAAGTTGCTCAGAAAGCCATAGGTTTAGGGCTATGCTCGGAGTTTCTTTGAGAGATCTGATTCTAAAAAGTATAATCTGTTAAAGAATTAGAGTCGTTGATATACCGAATAGGAATTGTAGATTGAAATAGCAAATTGTTTGTCACATTTGTCACAGAAACGATTGCCGTTTATGCAAACGTGTTCTGAAGTGGAGACTGTATTTAGGCAGGCGTAAAGTGAGGAATTTACCTAGCGTGATATATGATAGATGGCGTTACGAATTTTCCAAAATTGTTAGAAACGATTGGATGCGTAAAGCACAGAAGCGTACAAAGTGGCGCTCTTGAATTAAATGTTTTAAAAATTGGTACTATCTATATCTATTTCCTATTTTATTTGAAATACGTCATCAGTTCATGTGTGTTATAATAGGAGTTGTAAACTAAATAACACTAAAGTTAATCATAACATAAACAACATAAGTAATTAGAGTTAATTTCCCGCCAGAGCTCACGACTCGTCGCGGTCGGGTTTTACCTCCTGGCCCTTTATGTCGGTGCATATGTGGGGAGAGTCGCCTCTAGGCATCTGGCAGCTTGAGGTTTCCAACGAAGGACGTTACTTAGGTAAGATTGTTAGATATTATATGTATTCATAAAGTAAGCTAATTTAATGTTCCATTTTTTTATGAAACTTACAATAAACTTCTACTTGATGGAAAGTAATAACCGTCGTCTATAAACATGACTAACGCCATGAATATCACAGAATACACGGTAACACCAGTGTCTTCTCTCATGCGTTGTCATTCCTAAGGACTAATTTTCAATGGGATTTCAATCATGAGGAGGTTCGTAATGTGTCTGTATTTTTTGTTTGTTTGTTCACTTCCGTGTTGGGTCCATCAGTTTTGATACGATTGAAGTCGCCATTTTTTATGCAGATCAAAGTTTTAAATTACTTCAGATTCTATTCATTTGAAATCATAATAATATATAATATATAAATATGACAGATTGTGAGAATGGATGGAGGAATGGATAGATAGAACGGATAGTTATTTGTTACTTTTTTATACAAAAACTACTGAACGGATTAGAATGAAATTTGGAATACGGGTAAGTTACATCCTTACTTAGCATGTAGGATACATTATATACTCACTAATTCATGCGGAGTGAAGCCGCGGGTTACAGTAAACTTATCCCAAGGGCTCGCCCGCGTAAAATATAATATTTTAACTTTTACATGTCTGTTTACAGTTTTGCACTAATGTGCAAAATAATATAATTGTTATAAAATGAGATTATATATCGTATGCAGTCATAATTAATGTTAGAATGTAGGATCTTATATATAAATTTCTTATTAATATCATTAAAAATAGATACATTTTTTATCTTATATAGAATACAGTACAACAAAAATTTAAATATAGAAATAAAAGTGCTTCGAAGAAATAAGTTATTTATGTAGACACATATATGGTCGTTGCAAATAACTTTTTACAGAACCATACACTATGAAACGTGCGCAGTAGACGCTTTTCTATGTAAAACTATTATTACCCAAATACTTGGGCCAATTACGCAAAACATTCACTATGCAAATTTCAATAACTTATTCAAATAAATGCACTCACTATAGAGTTGAAACATCCTAGTATTTAGAAACTTTATGAGGGTATATTACAAAGTTGAATTAGTTGCTAAACTACATCAAATATTAACAGTAAATTATACAGCTTAGCATTATACATATTACCTATTTTAATTACAATTTATACATTGTACAAATAATTTTATTAATATGAGCCTGTTAATAATTTATCTCTTAAGAATCATAATTATGAACCTGTAATAAGAAATACTAATGTTTAGATAGTTTTAAAGTAAATGCATAATAAAATCAGACAGCAAAATGTTCTCGCTGGAGTGCAGTGTAGTGAATACATTTATTATAATGAATTTAATGCTGTCTGACTCTCATTGTATGTACGAAGAGTGTGTTGAAATGTTAGTTAACGGTTAATTTACAGATTTAACCTGTATACTTACTTTATAGAGAGCATAGCATAATATTTTTAATATAAAATACAGGTAGTAGGAATAATATAATTTATAAAAAATATGCGATTTTCAATAAGTACCTAATTGGCTAACGAGAACAACATAAGACTTACATACTTATTATCATTTTTTTTATATATATATATATATATATATATATATATATATATATATGTTTTATTAAATTTCAGAAAAATTCAATGATTTAATGGATGGAAATGTTTAAAATAGGTATATTCAACATTTGTAGAGAACTTACAATTTATTGGACCGTTCTCAATATGGTTCACGTAGCATCGAAGTATTCCCAACTTATAATGATCCATTCCGCCAATTAGTTCTTCCATTATTCAATTGCTGGATATCTGAAAACGAATTTCCTTATTATTAAAAATGATGATTTACTTATGTGATGTATCGAATAAGGCATAAAAGGTAAAAGCTAATTTATCCCAACTCAATAGAGGCCTAATGATGTAACTCAATTAAGTGCCTAATAGAATTTCAAAGACTATATTCCAATGTATCGGTATAAGCATAATACGAAGTAATATATTGCGTAAACTATAACATGTTACGAATACCAAATGATACTAGTATAAACTGTTATTCCAAAATGAATATACAAACTTCTCTTAATTTACATAAGTTTGCAACAAAGAATTCTGTTTATGTTATATTAAATTTCGACGTCATAGGTCGAGCAACATTGCAAGATTGGTCTCTAACGTTGTACGGAACTAGTACGCCGGCTGCTAAAAATGACCCAATACCGTTCCGAAATCCGATTACACGGAACAAGAGTAACGCAACGCGGCCCGTAATGGTGCAAGCTGGTCGTAAAAATAAGGGAAAGGCGATCTCCATAGTGCCGACATACACTGTGGGATTGGTGAAGAGAAAGAAGAATAAAAACTCGAAGAATCCGAATAGGAACTCGCAGAAATCAAAACAGGGTCGGCCAGCGACACGCTCACCTATCGAAAGCACAACGAGAACAACAACGTCGTCGACCCCGGATTTGAGCCTTAATTTGCGAGGCGACTTAACCGATCCCCTGGCAGACGCCAGAGGGCGGAAGATGTCTAGTCTCTTCGAGCAATATCCGAAAATCCAGCGGATATACCCGGCTCCACTCCGGGCCAATGGTACTGCCAATGCATGTGTTGTATCCGTTGATTCGTTTTGTCGACAGCGTTTTATTTGGCCGCCTAGTTTGAGCCTGCACGTCAATTACCTTTGTTCCAGAGTCCGCCGCTCTTTGCATGTCGTGTGTTTGCATTGTTTAAATTGTATCTCGTAGTGCAAGTTTATTTTATAGAAAGTGTTTCGTTTTGAATTTAATTTGTTCAGTTGAGTAATTAACTTATAACAGGCAGGAACTATAATTTTGTTATACGTGTATTTTCACTTTATAATTTCGTTAATTGCTTTGTAACCTATAAACATCACAAATGTGTTTTCGCACAGTACCTACGCTATACAGGAGATTTTTGATTAACTGTTGCTGTTTTTTTTTTTTAAAGTTTCAATGTATTTTTTTTTGCTTGGCGTAAAATTTTTCTTATTTTATTTCTATATTATATTAATAACTTATTAATTACGTACCTAATAATATTACTGGAACATTTTTGTACATACATTATATCTCGAACATGCGATATCAAATTAAAAGAAAAAATTTGGCAATATTATTAAAAAATACGTATGGTATTTGAATATTCTATTCTTCATTTATATTATTATTGCAATAATCAATCATTTTAATTTGATTATTTGAATATAAACATTATAATTATATTGCTTACTTTAGATGAAATGACAATCTATCTGTTTTTCAGGAATTTGGAATAATATTTAGTTTTACTAGAACACTACCTCAAAAGGTTGCTTACAGCACCTTGTATAATAGAGAGATATTATGTATTTGCACTATAAAATTTATTATTGCAATATTTATTTAAACTATTCGAAATTGTGCTCTAATCAACACAATTGTTTAGTAGCGGGTCCGCTGACACAATGGGAGCTGATATTCTACGGGACAGAAACTCCGGCGCAAGAGTATGATGCTTCTTCGGAGACCAACTCCATAGGAACGAACGCAGGACCACCCGTGACAGCCTGGAGTAGATCTAACGACATCGACGATGGCATCGCTTTAGTCTGGCACGACTCTCATTCGGTATGTAAACTCATTGACGTTATATTTTACTAAATTAAGTGTTATTTTGCTAAATCTATGTCGCTGTTTAGTTGATATACTGTCTACTAATATTAGAAGATTGACTTATAATAATAGTCAATCTTCTATTCGTATCAATCTTCAAATTAGCAGTCACACGCATATTAATGGTAGCGAAATTAAGCAAAATAACTGTAATCAATTAATCAGTGACGTTAGAGTTGAAAACATTGCCACTACAATTGTGCCTTTATTGAAAAGGTTTCTTTTGTTGGTTTGAAAATTTGGAAGTTTGCTGGAAAAAATTATTACGAAAGATGTTTTGATTAAAGTGTACGATTGAGTATAAATGTTAGTAGGCCATTCTACGTACTGCGCCCTAATAGGTGAAATGCTAACAGAATCGAGTTAAATATTCTTTTGAATCGATAAATCTGTATAATTAATTAATATGATGGCAAAAAAACTTGTTTCATTTAGATCATTTAAGCATTCTATTGCTACTGTCTACTCTTTCTGTATATTGTTAGCTTAAAAGTCTTCTTCGTACTAGTTTTATATCATGTCTGATGAATTTAAATTTGCGATACTAGTTTTATTAAAAAAAAATGTTCATGAAATTAATGTTCATAAATCAGTGTCTTATTATTAAAATCATAATGTAAATTGGATTTAATTAGCTAAAGAATTTATGGAAACAAATCCCCCTACTCTAACAATCCCACCATTGTTATTTTTGCAAATCGGAGTATACAGCGTCTTATTAGATAGACAAAATGATTGGTGGAGCTCATGGCGTCTCTGGGGAAATCTATGGTCGTCGAATTTAATGAGACCGCAAAATATGGGGATTAGGAACAGATAAGTTATTGTCAAAAAACAATGGTTGAAACATATTTCACTTGCTCATAATTGAACTCCAGTGTATAGAAATAGAAAATATTGCTTTTCTCCGTAATTAATAGAAATTCAAAAAATTAAAATGTTCTAAATCTTAGCTTGGAAAACCTTAAAATTTTCTCTATGACAGTTTCTTGTCAAATTAACTAACAAGAGATTACAACGATGTAATTACCAGAAAATCACCAAAAGACTTTCAAATAAAAAGGAAAGCTTAAAATAAATATTGAATATTTCAAATGTACATTAAGTGAACGAGTATGCATTATATACTCTAGTATGTACAATTATAAAATACTAATATTTTTGCAATAAAATATTTCGTATATACCAAATATGACGATTAGTCTTTAAGACATTTATAGTTAATAAATTTTAATTTATAGTTAACAAATAACATTTTTCACGCTGACATCTTTCAAAGATCTTTCTATAAATGGCCATGGAACGAATCATATATACATTGACTACATTATCTATCTTTATTTATTTATCTTTGTATATTTGGTTATTTGCAGATCTCTGATTGCAGGTCTATAAAAACCTTTAAATAATATACACATATTACGTATATAAAAAGGTCATCAGAGAATTTAAATTAAGCGGCCATCTAATACGTTTAATTACCAATTTTCATACATTACGAGTATTATGTTATTATCTCAGTTTAGCTCAGGGCCGGGTTAATTAGCTCAAAGTATCTCGACCCCTTGAGATTTCCTTAACTGTTTATATATTGCATTCTTTTAAAAATGTACCTTTTTCATTAATATACCAACAGATATAGATATATACAGATTCCATAATGATTTTAATTAAAAAAAAATAATGGCACGAATAAATTCTATATTTCAGAAAGGAAAAGTTTCTATGCGTGCATGCGTACTTCCGTGCGTGCGTGCGTGCGTGAGTGCGTACGTGCGTGTTTGAGCGTGCGTGCGTGTGTGTTTGTGTGTATGTGTGTGTGTGTGTGAGAGTGTTTGTGTATATATTTGTGCGTAACTAACTAAAGAATGCTTTCTAATTGAATGCGCTTCTTTATAGGACTGCATTTTAGAATCTTTTTGTACGTCTTAATATAGGTAATGAGACAAGTAATCTTAGCAGCACTCAGCTGAGACCACAGATGAATAATAACTGAGATTACCACTCATGACACTCCCGTATTGTGAGGAGAATTCGCCACGACATGATACATATCACCCTTAAGACGACGCGAAACGTTTTATCAAGCGGTTGTCTCAGGTCTCGAGTTTATATGAAAAGGTTTTTATTACTTCAGTTTTCGTTTTTTGTTACGAAAAGAAAGGAAAATATTTTTCGCGTATTCTTCAATTTCGTAAACGTGAGCAGTAGTAAACGTGAGAAACTTATATTTTAGCGTATGTGAAAATATTACGCTAAAAATCCTGTCACGATTTTTATTCACTCTAATATTCTTTATAAAACCCAGCATTTGATTGTAATGAAATTTTAAAAATAAGTATTGTTTCCTCTCATATGAGATAGTTTTTGTCCGATAAGAAAAAATAACACAGCAGAAGACGATAGGGGTAAAATACTGAGTCAACTTTTTTTATATGTTTTACATGCCGACATTGCAATATGCTTATGTTATACGAAATAATTATATGACTTTTCAATTAGATGTATGATTTTGTTGAAAAACGTGAAATTACTCAAATATTTATAATTTTTATTCATACTATATGAATAAAAATTATAATTGTTTATGACTATTTTATATTATTGAAATGTTTAGTGCCTGTTTAGCTAGCTAACTTATATATATTATATATCATTGATTTTAAAATAATTTCTTTTTTATATTTCATAGTTCATTCTGTTCTTTGTTATGTGTTTTAAACATCATAATAAGGTAATGCCTAATATACTTATATAACTTTAAAAAATATATATATATTTAATTAAAAAATATTTAAAAATGTATTTTAAATAACAAATTATGTTTTTAATAAATTAATTTCATTGCTAAACAGTATACTAATTTAGTCTTTCTTTTTCTTGTTTAAAGGTATTTAATGAAACAACCTATTCTATTTTATTATTATTATTGGAAAAATTTTGTAACAAATCTTATATTGTATATAAATATATATAATATATAAATTATTTTTATATATAAAAATAAGTTATTATTATAATAAGACAATATAATAATAAAATTATCAATATAATAATTTATGGGGCAACTAAATCACATTAAATAATATCTAACAAACTAATATTAATTTATTAATCAATTGTACTGAATATATTTTCTTTTAATTCAGGTATCCGATGAGAATACACCTGTGCCGGACGCGGTTTCCGGTCAAAAACACGCGAGCAGCGGCTGCGCCTCGTACTCCGCGCCACCGCTGCATCGCTGCCTAGGTTTGTGCCTATTCCTCATCCTATTACTATCCTCAAATATAGAACTTCCCCCTAAAACTCAGCAAACCCGAGTCTTGTGCACAGAGGAAAAAGAATCATCCGAATTTGCACAGGATTCGGGCAATGTGTACTCTAATGTTAAGCGCGACTGTGCACTAACTGCTAGTCTAAGTTTAGATGTAAGAGGAAATAGTTGTAGGCCCCCTCGAGCCCCGTGCTTACTTCGGACCCCAAAGGAGGTGCCCTAGTACTTACGACAGTTCTAGTTATATCAAATTGTCAAAATTGTAAAAATAACATTTACATGAATGTATGAAATGTGACGCTATGTGCAGGTATTCTAGGAACCAGTAAAGCGTTTTTGACATCTGAACACGCTTAAAATTAATATATTTCACGGATATTTAATTAAATAGATAGTAAAGGTAAGTCCGATTGATAGGATTTATATAAAAATAAAATATGCACATTATTTATAATTTATATTTCGTGCTTATTTTAAAATTATTTAACTTTTCGGCATAATTTATTTCACATAATGTTTTTTATCTATTATACATAGCATGAAGTACCTACTTTATTTTTATATCTTATACCCATGCCAATTGTAAGTTTTTTTTTACTTAACATTTTGACTGGAAGCATAATAGTTATCCAAAGTTATCTATTTAATTCAATATCAGGACATAGCGATTTTCAAAATACTTGTTCGGTTTTTAAATGTTTTGTTTGTGTATACTAAAACGGCAATGTGTGTACATATTCATAGGGACCTCAGTTATATTATCACAAAGCATTACTCATTATAAATGTCTCAATAGACGTGCGGATTTATTGCAATTATAGTGAATACATTACAGTTTAAAATAAAGTAATGCAATATTTCAACAATTTTGATATGAATGATATGATTTATAAGAATTGTTTTGTACTCGCCGATCTCACGGCATGTGATTTTAGTTAAATTTACCATGTTACAATTAAGTACAAGCTGTTATCTTATATAATTTTACTTCACGTTTACTTCATGGTTACTATATTATTATGATATTTATATTAATTATTAGATATAACATATATAAAAAATATCTCATTGAGAACTTGTTTGCAAACTTTTACAACTTTTTTTTATTTATACAATCAAAATATTAATTTATAAATACGTATATAAAGATATACGACACAATGAATTCAAAATAGACCATAACTTGCCATACTAATTATCAGGATACATCTATATTGGCAGCACTCATTTTGAAACAGAAATTTATTATGTAGTGATTTTTTTTAATTATGAATGCTCAACCTATATATATATTAATTAATAAAAATATTACATATTGCGAGTCCAAGTACCTAATAGATTCTACTTAATAATTTTGACAGCAATATATACATGAAAAAATTGTTTTCTTTTTTATAATTAACCATTAGTGAATGTCAGCTATATTCAATTTTAAAAATAGAAATCTGTAGGTACTTACTTTTTATTAAACTTCGAATATATTATTAAAATATAGTAAGTACATTTTAGACATAATTAAATATGAATATCTACGATTTTCAATTTTAGTACATTAATATGATTTCAATATAATTATTTTAAATTAAAACATAATTTCCGTACTTCAAAGAATCTCCTGTTAATTTTTGTATTAATGATATTTATTTACGGAATTCCATTGTCTAAAACAGAATAATGATATTTGTTTGGAAACATTGGCTTTACAAATGATCGATTTTATATCGTAATTAACTTGAAAATTCAATAATGAGTTGGCAAAAAATATTAAAGAGCTATTGACCAAGTGCAATTAAATACTAATTAAAATAATGTATAATATTTACGGTTTGAATAACGTCCATTTTGATCGAGTAATTGCAATCTTAATTACGTAAATACGAATAGATTGATAACAGCTGGTCTTAGAGTTATGTGAAGTAATTCAGTAAACAAATTGTATAAAAAACAATTAATTAACCGATTGTTATTGTAAAATAATATTTGTCAAAAAATGAAATTGTACTAAACATTTCATCCGGAACATTAAATGTACTTAATAGACTATGTTCTAGTCAAGTTACTATGGAGTTTCACCTCACTGATGATTTGAGTGAAATATACTAAAAAAATATATAAATAAAACTTAATCAATATTTTGATTGTTTCAACTACCTTTTCCGTCTTTTATAAAATATATTATAATTTTAATTTTATACCTTTTATAATTATTTATATTACAAATATATTTAATTATTGTTGAATGACATTCGTTCAAAAATTTAGTAGCTATAATTTTCTTTAACTATGATTATTTCTTTGTTTTAAATGCATAATGATACCAAAATATGTAAAAGCATTTAAAGAGATAATAACGTTTCTCGTTAAGTTATTTATTTATCATTATTCTAAGTAAGTACGTATATATAAATAGATAGGACAATTATATTAATTTTGTATTATGAGTCTCATATTAATTTTTATATTATAAAAATTAAGCATTCTAGCGCGACGATAAATATAATTAATTATATTGCATATAATTAATTATATTTCATTCAAAACGTCATTATTTATTTGATAATAAAATATAATTATTAGCAATTTCGCCAATACGTATGTAATAATTACATATAATTATTACAGAAACACATATCTGTTATAATAAGTTTCAAAATTATAATAATTTGTTAAATGTAGTTAGTTATTCAGAGACTTTTATAAATAATAATGAAATTGCATAGAAAAGCCTGATCATATCCTGAGCTTCGGCCTTTTGCAGCTAAGTGTATTTTTTACTGTTGTACTTTTTTAAATAAAAAAAAAGAAATTCCAACAAAGATCTAAACCTCTTTATAAACATAAACTTGTAGAGTAATGCCATTTGTGAAATACGGTGAAATAATAGTAGTAAACAATTGTTATATGATCCGATTTATAATTATAATACTGGACATATGGGTAGACACGCAGAAGGATTAACTGGTTTACATATAATTATCATAAATATAGTAAGTTAGTGATACGGCCCAGCTTCGCACGGATAATAGAATTTTCGAAAATAATACGTAACCTATAATACTCGTTGATAATGTAACTTTTTATATGTGATTTTTTTTAAATCTGTTGTTTTTGAGTTTATCTATTACAAACAAACAACAAAACGTTTTCTTTTTATAATATTAGTATAGATAGTATATATTATATTTATTATATATTAGTTGATCTAATAAACAAGATAATTTATTAGTTATACACACACAAATGATTCCTTTATTACATTTTTATATACGTCTATACACGTCGTAATACCTGAAACACCTGGTAGACTGTATGTATTATCTCATACTAATGTAATGTGGTTACGAATGTAATATGTTTGTTATATGGTAACATAATTAATAAATTGTGAGGCTCCTAATTTATATATTGTTATTGTATTTCCACTCTCTGTGTATTTAGTGCTGTGTATTATATTTTCGTTGTAGACATATACTGTGAGTTACTAATACTTTTCACATTAATATAATATAATTTATATATTATCATTATTCTACTTTTTAAAGTAATGAAAGTTTCTGTATCTACTAGTCGAAGGTAATCTAAAATTACTAAAACGTTGGTACATATATAAATGAATAATATGGCTAGAAATTCAATAGTTGTTCCAATTTATAATGAGTTATATATTTAACTAATGAGTTATTTGTTTATTGTTTATTTAGCAATAAATTTTATTTATTCAACTTTATTTGTTTATTAACTTTACATTTAGCAAGTGGAATTTAAAATAAATTTATTATTATTATAAAAGTCTCTGTTTTTAAGTGTTTGTATAGGCGGATTGTCTACTAACTCGCACACCATTAGTAATAGTGTAGTTTAATGACAATTCGCTTATTCGATTGAAGTTATGCCGATCGCTCACTGATAGTTACCTACCGAATTTTCGCAGCTGGATTAAAGGAACTATTCACACTCATCGGTAGATGATAATTTATAGATATTAATTAATATATTAAATAGATACCCTAAATACATGTATAGAGTTCTAGCAATACCTCATCAAATAGTTTTTTTTTATTTTTTTTTTAAATATCTCCTCCTTCCCTGTTACTATAGTAAGATAATGAAGCGCACTGTCCACATACTATTTTACTGTATACTATATTATGGGAAAAATAGAATATACATAAATGTAATGAGACGCATTTCATCTTCCCCAATGATGCACTTACGATATGCTTTATTTATAATTTTAAAAGCGTCTCTGTATAGGTTATCCTTACTTAATCTTTACTAACCTCTTGGCAATTTAACGATTTAATCAATTTCTATGAAATCTGTTAGTCAATATTCCGGTCACAAGGACGAAGTCGTAGATAAAAGCTAGTTGTATATATTTTCCTACCAAAACGGTAAAATTGTATAATATCGTATCATACTACTGATTGGTGTGGATGAGGCTATCAGTGTGCCGCCGGCGTGCCTGTTTAAGGAGAATGCAGATTGTACCGAGGGCTTTCCAACCGTCTATTAGACTCGATGATTAAAATTCGCCAACAGTTATAACAGCATGACAATAACACACGCGGTAGCTGTGATTCATTTTCAAATTTATATTTTATATTATCTTTATTTATAAATTTATTATATTTTCAAGGTCACGTTCTAATCATGAAGTTAATCATTTTATTATATGTATACATGATTTATTTTTATTTGTAAAACAGTTATTTTAATTTCTCTTTAACAACGTTTTTTGATACATGTATAAAAATTGTATGTCATGGCTCTGGTAGAGATATGTTAGTATATGATAGTCACGATTAAGAAGAGTAACCTAGAGGTTATTTATCGGAATGAATGCGGACATATAAAGTGCAAATTGAAAAAAGACTGTTGCATTGATTGTTGATCTAGACGCGAGATGAGTGTCAATTTGACAGATGTCAAACTGACAGGTTTCAAATTAGTCATGCTGTTATGACTGAGACATATAACTTAGATGTATTTGACATAATATGTAGATATTAAAAACAAAACAATTGCGTATTGTGGTTGTGATGTTAGCAGAAATTGCCAATCCATCTAGATTTAAACTATATATAGAAATGTATATATTAAGTATATAATATCGGTATAAGTATTTGGAAACTTGTACAAATTTGCTCACAAACATGTAAATGAAAACGACTGAACGATCACGATTTCTCATCGACTGGTAGTTAAATTAAGAAATTGTATACTAAATTAAGCAGCTTAGTGTAACTTCCTAACTTGCGTAATGCATGTCCACTGTCGTGATTTATTTATTTATATCATGGTCTAAATTAGGCAGATTCCTCATAGCACAATTCTATACAATGCATAATTTCTGCTTGCCACATTGAACATCGTTGAAGTTCTTTTATCTTAATTATAATCTTGTGTAATTACAATTTTATACAATATCTTATACAAACACAATTAATCTCTAATAGATAATTGAAGCGCGCATGAAACTACGTTGTATCGTCTGTGCCTCGAGGAATAGAAAATATATTAACTATCTTTCGATGTATTAGAAATCTATCATTTTTATAACGTTTTGGTTGTATAAATGTAAAATTGTTCAACGATATTGGCAGTAATTAGCGATCCATCAAATTGTATTGTAAATGTTTATGCATAATTTGTATATATGGAACCTGATGTGACGGAGAATAATAATAAAAACAATCTTTTATTACAAAATTTATACAGATTTTTATTTTGATTGTATCATAATGTAATTACGAGTCTTGTCTCTGATATCAAATCGTCGATTTATAACGTAGCAGTTAGTCACAACTCGATTTGTTATTGTTATTTTGTTTGTTTTATGCGATTGTTATTTCACTAGAGTAATTTAGTTTTACATTCGCTCTGATTGTTGCATGTTTGCTTAGCTTTTTACGTGCTTCCTCTAATATTTATTAATTTGCTATTCACGCTTCACTACCTTTATAATTTAGTTCACACGTCTTGCACGAGTAACTTCAATTAACTTTCATTACTTCTCATTCTTAATTTTTACTTAGAAGTTCACCTAAACTCTCTCTGATTTCATTTAATTTTGAGCACGTTGTTTGTTTGTGCATGTCCTATTGTTATTTTTACTTTATTTTATTTTAATCAAGAACAAAATTATTTGAGATCAGTGACAAGATTCTATCGATCCTTCCCGTAATTTCCTTATGCTGCGAATTTACCATAATATACCTACATCGTACGAGGCGCATCTGCATCATTTGATCTGCTGGCGAGAGATCGTAAGCTGCATGGACTCAGAAAGGTGATGGGTGGTGGCGGAGTTGCCTTTTGTTTATGTAATTAAACATCTTTGTTCTCTTTCTTTCACTAGAATGCGCGAAGGGTTTGCACTTGTACGACGGGCGGTGTTACAAGCATTGCCCGGCCGGTACATATGCCAGTGAAGTTCTAACGGAACGAAGCTCAAGAAGACGCAATCTTACTTACTTTTTTGAAAGCTCTACTGGCGCCACTGTTATGAAACGTCAAGGCACTGATGCTCCAAAACCGTCCGCTTTCGAGGCTCTAGATATGGAACCTATAGTTAATTTAGAAACATCTCCTTCTGTTTGTCTTCCTTGTCACTACACCTGTGCTACATGTTCCGGTCCCCACGAAAATCAGTGTACCTCATGCTCAGAAGACGCTCAAATTTATAACTTGACAGACGTAGAACTCAAAGTTTACTGCTATCCTAATACGATTGTACCGCAACTTAACAATGCCAACTGGCATTACAGGCTGAATGTTGCTCTTTCTATCGTCTTGTTTATTATTAGTTTTATTTCCTTATATACTTTAATCGCGTGTATTCTAAGAAAGTACGGATATTATTGTTGTGGTTCTTATTACAACTCTAATATTAATATAGCGTATGACAGGCTATCAAATGATGATAAAAATCAAAGTGCTATAGAAATCGAGGATGAAATTAAAAAAGCACTGCACGATTATACTGAAAGTGAATCTGAAGACGATTTGAATTTATAGCGATATGATGCTACTTTTCGTCGTGAATATTACGAATTAGTTGGTCAACAATATATTAGTGATTGAAAAAACATTTATAAAGACAAAATGCAGGGCATATATTGTGATATTATAGAATCAATTGTCACAATTTACAGATTTTTTATTTTATTATTATTTTTTTAATGATTGACTGTTGTAAGAAGAAAGGAGTAGAAAAATAGGGAAAAATATGTTCGTACAAAATTTTCTTTAGATTAGCAGCAATTGTTTACAATCCAAAGAATTTTTTTAATTCTCCTTTTAAAATACTTATAACGATCATATCACTATTTACTTTAAAAATTGTACCATAGTTAGATACATATTTTTATTCATACAATGTTCTTTTTTCATTGATTTAGATATTTTTATCGATTTTTACTGAACATATACTGAATTTATTGAAACGACGTGGATCTCCTTATTTCTTACAACTTTTTTCCTAAAACAAGGATCTATTAGTTTATAATCTTAGCCTATTTCAGAATAATATTCAACATTCCAGATAATTTATAAGATTTATATAAATACTAGGTAGGTATTTTAGATTTTATGGTAAGTATCAAGAACTATAATTACGAAGAATAATATGGACGGTACAGTTTCGCCAAGAAAAAAATTATGAAATTAATATTATGATTTCTTTTTTATAATTTACAACATTGCTCAATATAAAAGAATATAATTATTATAAGAAGAGTTATAATGTATTACAATTCTGTCTAGGATGTTAATAAATATCATAGGTCATTGCTTCTTGGAATAGACATCGAATCGAAGCATTATGGCATGAATAATAAAATTCTCCCATAATATTACCGAATGCTTAATTGGGAACTATTTCTCTTTTTACTTATAATTTTATTTCATTTTGACCCTTACATAGACATTTACTTAAATTCTTATCTCATTTTGACCCAAAGATATATTAGTAATTGCTATTAAAGTTAAATTCTTATACGAAAGCTTACAGTGTCTAATGTTTGTTTTAGGGTAAATTAGTACTGAGGTTACTAACTCTCTGCAGAATATTTCCTTAGCCATGGTTTTATTTTTCTGCAAACTGAAATGCGTATTTAAATTAATCATCATCCATATAATAAACATCACAATTTGATTGTGTATTATATAAAACGATAAGTATAATAATATTTTAGATGCACTGAATAATATTTCAAATAAGTAATGATTAGGAATATTTAACATAACTTGCTATAATCTATTTTTTATACTTTGAATCTTAAATAAAAACTCTTGGCATTTTATATTTATTTTTAAAAAAATAATAATAATTTGCAAAAGTATATAATCTAGTAATTAAAAGATATTTTTATTATATTACAGTTTACATATTCTGTTATTTCGATAAAAAATATTTAATTTATAATCTATGTGCCAAGTATAAAAAATAGATATATAAGTACATTGAGTCTAGTTGCCATTTTATTGTATGTAGATACTCAACACAATTTGTACGATGTAAATATTTGTATTGTAAATAAATGAGTTCCTATTTTTATTCAGCTTTTTATTGGAGTTGCTTGAGCCTTTTAAAAAGGTACTGGTTATGTGCATAATGCATTAATTACACATAATTTAATTATTAAAGCGAATACTTATAATAACAATCAAACTATTGAGTTTCTGGTAAGTATTGGATTTTTTGAAAAATTTAACGTCAATTCTTAGTCAAAATGTACCTATCAATTCTTTTTTTATTTTTAATATATATTTTTTCTTATTGGTTCTGGATATCACGACCGTGGTGTTCTCAGTCATCATTGTCTATGGTCCATCATGCATGATTTGATGAACAAAGTAATCATGATATACACTATTTTGAATACTTAACATATATTTTACTTTGTTATAAAAATAAAATATAGCTATTTTAAATTGTAAGGTTCTAATTTTAAATTAAATTTCTCAAAAAAATAATGTCATCTATGTGCTGATGAGTACGAATACCAATTATTTCTATTCCCAGTATGAAAAAGGGGGCTAAAGGAACACTCAGTGTTGCCAGATTAGGTACTTATTTGCAATTTTAGGTAAAAAATGTTCTAATAGAAAAATTTTTAAGAAATGAAATTCTTGAAAAATAGTGAAATAGACTTGGAGAAATTTGAGTAATTTTTAAGAGGATGGGATAAGAAGGCAGAAGGCGAAAGTAAAATAAGGCTAAAAGAAAAAAGAAAAGATGTTTCTTTTTCGTCATTTACTTTGTGGTGCATGAAAAAATGAAAGTAAAAATTGATACAAAGTTGTAATTAGATAAAAATCCAAAATTTGGTGATAAAACATTAGTAGGCTATTTCCCTAGGTCTAGGCCCTAAAGTTCTGAACTTCTTATGGGGTGAGGGTGTAATCCACGCCCAACAGTGTGACTTTAATAGCTTGTTAATATTTATGGTATGATGCCAAAAAAATTTTTTTCTGATCTGGTGAATTTGGAGAAATTCATATTAAAATTTAAATAAATTCGAATCACGGGACCATAGGCTTTATTACTTTGTTTTCACTTCTGAATAAAATTTATAATATATTTTGTTAAAGAAATAGGTAATATATCCTATTCCCACGCAAAGTAATATATATGATAATATATATTATATTCTAACGCAATTATTAAGTCGATTCTATTGAAATAAATGCGTTCGTGTAGAACGATCAATATAGCTAATGTATCGGGAAACGGAAGACCTTTGTACAGTCATATAGATACTAGAAAGAGCACTTTGTTTATTAATTTATTTTTCTACCCTATACTATATATAGTGTTACTGATATACAACAAATAACCTAATGATGATTACAAAAATCTGATGGTAAGCGGTTACCGTAGCCTATAAACGCCTGCAGTACCAAGGGCGTTAAGCGCGCGTTGCTGATCCTGATGAAATTTCTTTATCCATTTTTTGTAGAACTCCATGCTGTAGTCCCTTGGAAAAATCTCGGCAGGAAGCTCATTCCATAACCTGAGCGTTGGTGGGAGAAAACATCTCTGAAACCGCGCTGTACACGATCATATTGAACAATTCCTCTGAACACAATCCATCGAATAGATACTTATCAATTTACCTGACTTAAAAGAAATATAAAAATAATTTAACTCCAAGATTGAATATAGAATAGATGTAGGTATAAGTATCTATCTAAAATCATTCTAAATTCTCATTTTTTTTTCTATTTTCCACTTCTATTAGTTGATAACACAACAAAAGGAAGTCTTAAGCTAATAGATACATACAACGTTTAGTACTAATACAATAAATAAAAGAGTCGATATAATTTATTATTATGTCCGTTCCAAAATCATGTTTTCGCTAAATTTTCCGATCCCCCATGTTCCTGTCACCTTCGAAACTCGAGATTCCTCTCAAAAATACCAATAATTACGTGGGGGAGAAAAATATTTACTTGCTTGCTCCCCTAACCCATCGCTTACTCGTTATACAGGGACTACAAAGAATGTTTCTTACATTCGTGTAGGTAAGTATATATGTAAGTATTTATTCCAAAGCAATAAAAACTTCATAAATTATTTTTCATATTTTATTTTTATTTTCAAATAAAATATTATGTTCTTTTTAGTAATCAGAGTATCAAAATTTTCACAACAAAATCCGCAGCTGTACTTGTGTGAACTGTGATAAAAAGTAATCAAATATAGTAATAAAGTGTGATAATTTAAAATATGATTCACATGTGTCGATACCAAGTTTCATACAGATCCGTTCAGTAGAGATCGAGTAATAAAGATTCATATTTATAAGATTGGTAACATGATATGTAGCGCTTATTAGCGAATAGTTATTATATATCGTCTATATGCACTTAAGTATCTTATTCTATCATATATTTTTTTAATGGATGAAAATGGAATGATATCCCTGTCTGCGCTATCGGTATACGCTGGCGTGGTATCAGTAATAGATGATAGAATGAACACAGGTCAGTTGCCCATTATGAAGAATTTGAAAAATTAATTACGATGGTTCCCAGAGAAAACCGCGTGGAAGTCGATCTTATAGGGTATATTGCTAATAATTAGGCTATTAGTTCCCATTACGTGATACCATGAGTTAAACACCATAACCTACGGTAACAGTAAAAAAATGCTGATATAGATTGAAATTGTATATAATATTCAATGTTTGTTGTTCGCCATCTCAGTGGCATAAAAAAGTGTGATGTCAGAGATTACATTTTTACACGACAATATACGATGTTGCTTTACACCAGAAACAAGAATTAAGATTATATATAGTACCCACTCAGTTCACACAACACCCGAGCAGTGAATCACTTTCGTCCCAGAAATACACAACAGTTAGCCGAACTAATAATAGACATATTTACAAAGTTTAGTAATAAAAATCTTACTCCAAAAACATAGAATAGCAAGTGGACGACGCATGATATGTAGGTACAGAACTTTGGTATTGAATTCTTCATCTCCCCCTAAGGAAGCCAACGTGATGATGAACAGATAATATTCAATTTCACGCTTAGTTGCATAATGTGGATAGTTTTCGAGTATCAACATAAATATGAAGTGATTTTGATGTAAATAATATTTTGGCTCGACGAGCCTTTCCCATTTACTTTTACAGTCATGTGAATTTTCTAACAAATAATCGTAAATACTGTACTAATATATTTTACTCCCCATCAAGACTCGAAATTGTATCCCTCAAATGTGTTTTTTGCATTTGAGTATGTTTTCAATTACATTACACGAGAAATGCGTACCTACTTCTTAAATAAATGTGAAGACTTTGTTTTTAATATATATAGTTTTATCCGGAAGTCTTCTCCAGGTAATTTCGATGCTTTACGTTGCAGTGTCTTACCTAACACTGTGGCTTGCAGCTCACAGAATCTGTGAAGACATCAATGCGGGCAGGACTGGGGGCGGAAGTAGAAGTGGCATCAGACAAATGTTTAAAAATGATATTTCAAAAACGTCTCTATTTGTCTTTTTATTTTGACTGCTATGCTATTATGCCAATTGTAAATATTTTCACGGTTCAGTTTCATATTATTTATTTACATATAGGATTTACTCCCATGTTAATTTACAAAATGTAGCAATGCGAAGCAAAAGCTTGTTTAATCTTTATTTATTTGGGGATTTTGTCCTTTTTACGCGTGTCAGTCCCCTCGTAGCACATCCTTACAAAATAAGTATAATCCCCAAAAATCTTCAAATAAAGTGATCATTGCTTTCCGTTGAACAATTAAATTTAAAAGCACTTAAAATTACTTCCAGCTCATTAGCTCTCGGTAATAGACTCCTGATGCTTTATATTTTCAATGTCCCTCGCGCTCTAATACGTGACCCATTTACTAGTTTATGTACCATCTATCTCAACCTATGGTTTTTAACTATATTAAGAATTTAAAATATATATGTGGGTAAGTAGGTACAATATCTATACTATCAAATATACATGATTGATGATGGATTGGCAGTATACTAAATAGTAAAATATATTCCTTAATATAGTATGCGAATAATCTAATTAGATCATTAGATATGTCTTAAACTATGAAAAATTTGTTTCAAAATATCATCAGTTTTGTAAGAACAGGAAATTTTTGGACCAGACAGCGGAATTGAGTGATTTTTAGTACCTAATTAGAAAAGGAGTTACGGTTACTGTACAACAATTCGAAATCAGCCAAAAATGTTGGTTTCATTCAATTCAGCCAAAAGTTTCCATTCTTCATCCTGCATATGGTTTTCGGTCAAACAGAAGAGAAGAAAGGTAAATAATTCGTGTGAAGTTCTATCATTGAGCTAATTTAGAATCGACATTCTGTATGACGACCAAGAAAAGGAGATAGTATTAGCGTTGATCTAGAATATGATGTATTAGTATTTATTGTAATCTTATTTTTATATAAATGATATTTACAATATTATGCATTTTGTTTGGTTACTTTTGTGTATTTACTGAATGTGATATGCGCCTTCTACTTTTTTCTCTGTACTTATCTACTAATTATGTCAGGTTGTCTGTAAAAGATTGCTTTTAGCGATAAGGCAACATTTTGTATATGCATATTCTGTATAAATATTCCTTGTATGAATCTTTATTATGCACAATAAGAGTTTCTTATTATTTTTTAAATTCTACAAAAATTCACATCTTCCCTTTTAAGTAGAGGAGATGGCAAACTAACACCAGGTAGAAGCATAGTCGGCCGGAGTTCAGGGCCCCAGGGAGAGAAGCCGGCGAACAATGCGGGCAGAATCTAAGAGCACCGCTTTCTGCATCTTTTCCAGGAGTGAGCCGCCTCGGAATCCCAACCGTCTGAGATGTTGTTCCAGACTGGTTGGGATAAGACTGTTCACCGACATAACGATTGGAATGATTTCGGTGGATGTCACCCCCCACATTTCGGTCACCTCATGAGCCAGGTTGAGATATTTTCTCTTTTTCTCGGTTTCGGCTTTCACGAGGTTCTCGTCATGCGGTATGGTGACATCCACCAAAACACCCTCTAGAT